ACCCTGAAGACTCCACCAAAAAAGTATTAGAAAAATAAACAAAGACAGTAATGTTGCAGGATACAAATTTGATGTACAAAAATCCATTGTGTTCCCATATACTAATAATGAAATTTCAGAAAAAAATGAAAAAAATTTTATTTTGCAATTGCAACAAAAAGGATAAAACCCCTAGGAATAAACTTAACAAGGGATATGAAGAACCTATACACTGAAAACTACAAGATGTTATTTTAGAAAACTGAAGAAGACACAAAGAAATGGAGAGATAGTCCACGTTCTGGGACTGGAAGAATCAACATAGTTAAAATGCCCATATTACCCTAAGCATATATACACATTTAATGCAATCCTCATCAAAATCCCGATGGTATTTTTGTTTACTTGTTTGTTTACTTATTCATTTATTTTAAACAAAAGTCCAGTTTATTCATTCATTTCTTGCATTTGACATACTCCTCAATGACATCCTTTGCCTAAGGCTCTTTGCCATGGTCCCTATTACACAACTGCAACCAACCACTTTACCAGATTTTCCCTCTGGTGATTTTACAGAGGGCCACTCATTCCCCTAGTTTCTTATTGTCATCAACTTTAATTAGCTTCATTTGATGTTCAGCACAAACAGCTCCACAGACTTGACATTGTAGGCTCATCTCAGTTGGATGCAAACACACAAAGGTAGGCTTTTTAAGGCTTTGGCAGCTTTGGGAATTCCATACACGAGGCCACTGTAGGTGAGTGTGGTCTTCAGCACCTCTTATAAAGGAATATTAATGTTCATTACACCTCCAGGAGCAAAGCCTTCCTTGGCCAAGGAGGTGGGTTATGGGTAGAGCTGAATCTTGAACATACCAAAGCCTCACCTCTCATGCAACTCCATGGCAGCAGGAAAAGAGGCACAATGGCATTTTTTTAAAGCAATAGGTCAAAACATCATCAGATCTGTACGAAACCACACCGCACCCTGATAGCAAATGCAACCCTGAAGGGGAAAAAAAGAACCCAAAGCTAGAGGTATCATACTTCCTAACTTCAAATTACATTACAAAGTGACAATACTAAAAGCAGCATGGTATTGACAGAAAAATAGAAACAGACACCAAAGGAAAAGAACTGAGAAGCCAGAAGTAAACCCACATGTACATGCGCAAATACTTTCTGACAAAAGAACCAAAAACATGACAAAGAAAAGAAAGCCTCTTCAATAAATGATGCTGGAAAAATTGGAAAGACACATATAAAAGAATAAAACCAGCCTACTATATGTCACTATACACAAAAATTATGAATCAAAGATCTAAATGATAAAAAAAACCTGAAACAATAAATTAGATAGAAGAAAACCTAAGTACTAAACTTACGGACCTTGGACTCAGAGAGGATTTCATTAATTTGACCTCAAAAGCAAGGGGGGTAAAAGTAAAAATAAGTGAATGAGACTACATCAAACTAAAAAGTTTCTGCACAGCAAAAGAAACTCTCAGCAAAACAAAAAGGCAAACAACCAAAAGGGAGAAGATACTTGCAAACAACACATTTGATAACGGGTTAATATCTAAAATATATAAATAACTTATATAAGTCAACAACATAACAAGAAATCCAATTAAAAATGGATATACAGATGGCCAACAGGTATATGAATATATGTTCAAAACTTCACTAGCTATTAAGGAAATGCAAATCAAAACTACAATGAGATACCACCTCACACCTGTTAGAATGGCTATTATGCAAATCAAAAACACAATGAGATACCATCTTCACACCTGTTAGAAGGGCTATTATTGACAAAACAAGTAATAATAAATGTTGGAGAGATTGTGGAGAAAAGGAACTCTTACTCACTGCTGGTGGGAATGTAAACTGGTATAGCCCTATGGAAAATAGGAAACGCAACATGGAGGTTCCTCAAAAAATTAAGAACAGTTACTCTGTACACTTGAACCCTGTATAATTTTATTAACCAATCTCATACTAATAAATTAGGAAAGAAGGGAGGAAGGGAAGGAGGAACGAAGGGAGGGAGAAAGAGAGGAAGAAATGTGAAGTATCAGGTCCTTCTCCAGACCTATGAAATCAGAAAACTCAAGAAGGTGGTGATCAGCAGTCTGTGTTTTAAATGTCCTCCACAGGATTTAGATACATGATAAATCCAAGATCCTCAGTTGTATATCATACTACCTCACAAACACTTTGTAGGATAATCAAAACATTTCTGGAAAAAAGAGGATGATGATGTTATTTATACCACTATCAGTGGCATTTTCTCATACTCAGTCTCTTCTCAATTAAAAGGAAGTAACTATAAGAATTCACAAGAATCTTAATGTCTGGTTCCTGGCAATTTAATTAATCAACCACTTTCTTTTGAATTACCAAAGCAATCCAGAGGACAAACAAATCAGGTAGAGTAATGTTATAGAGAATGAACTGATGAGAAGACTAGAACATCACTAGCTAAAAATGCTCAGAGAGGAAAAGTATGTTATATTCAGGTGCATCTTGTAGCATGGGCACAACAAATATTGTTAACTTGCACCATTACTTCTAGATAATATTCTCCTGACCTTTGTAACCCTGAAAACCAGTATGACTACCTGATTTCCTGTGAAATCCAGTTCATAACTACTTACGAAGCACCCAGTATATATAAAGCATTGTATAGATACTGTAGGAAACATAAAGCTAAGAAAGATAGTCTATGCCCCATGAAGTTTTTAAGGTACTAAAAGATACCAACATTTCATCAAGAATAAAGCAAGGCAAAGAGCAAGAGTGCCACAAGATATATTTAAAAAATTGTCATGGAAATTCCAAAAAAAGTGACGTCTCATTTTGGAGGGAACAGACATGAGAATGTAAGTCTGGGAGACAGAATTTCAATAGAGAAAACTGGAGGAAGAGGACATATCAGTCTCTTACTGCAAAGAAGATAAGGCAGCAAGTAGGAGGGGAACATATGTGCAGAGGGACAACATACTATAATTGCAGGCAATAGCAGAAAGAACACTGATTGGGTTACACCGTCCCGCCAGGGACAATCTATGTCACTCTGGCCAAAAAAAGCTCATCTCCAAACCACAAATACTTATTTACAACAACAATAATAATAATCATCTTATTCTATCTTACAGAGTTATTTATCTGAAAAAAGTCTGGAGAGGGAACAGTCCCACTATAAAAAATATAGAACATGTTCAAAGTTCAATAATTAGTTTTATTTTGATAAATAAAAATTATATAATACTGAAAATATTTCATTTCAAAATGTTTCCATTTCAAAAATTATTTACAATTTCTAATATTAGTAAATAAAACCTACATAATATGAATGACTAAAAACAGTATGAGAAAAACATAAAAAATTAAAAAATATATTGTATAAATAGTATCTTTCTTTCTGAGGTCTACTAACTTAGCAAAAGCATACTGGCAGTTTCTTCCAAAACTGAAAACATACTTATCAAATAATTCAACAATCACACTCTTAGGCATTTATCTCAGAGAAGTAAAAACTTAATGTTCACGCAAGAGCCTGCACAATAATATGCAAACAGCAGATTTGACGTAAGAGCCAAAAACTGCAAACGACCCAAATGTACTGAAATGTGACTATGGTTAAACAAATACATCTATATTATGGAGTACTGCTCAGCAATAAAAAGGAACAAAATATTAGTGTATTTAATAGAATTATACTGAGTGAGAAAAGGCAAGGTAAAATCTAAATAAGCTTTTATGTCAATTTCCTGATTTTGATATTGTATTATACCTACTAAAGCAATCAACATCACAGAAGGTGGAATGAAGCATGCATACAATCTTCCTGTACACTTCTTCATAATTTCTTGTGAATCTATCATTATTTCAAACTTAAGTGTTAAAAAAAGGTATACTACCATTTTTTCAAAATGGATGATGCCCTTTTCTCCAACAGTACTATGAAAGTAGTATTTTTACCCATTGCTGATGGCATCCTAACTTGCTAGTCTGCAAAATATGATTTTATAGCATAAATCCATGGCCACAAATTTTGTGCCCTCTGACCTAGTCATATAATTTCTGGATATCACCTTAAGAAAAAACCCTCAAATTTGGAAAAACATACAGTTTCAGTCAATGACAGACCATATATATATGACTGTGGTCCCAAAAGATTATAATGGAGCCCAAAATTTCCTACCACCTAATGACATCATAGTGTAGCACAACACAGTACTCACCTATTTACGTTGAAGTATAAACAAAGCTACCGCACTGCCATTCATATGAAAGTATAGCACATAAATTGTGTTCAGTACATAATACTTTAATAAATGACTATATTATTGGTTTATATAATCATTATACTATACTTTTTATCATTATTTTAGAGTGTACTCTACTTATTAAAAAAATGTGATGTAAAAACAGCCAGTAGCCTCATACATCTCATATTTATCACATTTCTTGATGTCTTGTGCTTGATCTAATGTTGTACTGTTTTGTACTGCCACATGCTGCACAGGCTTGTAACTAGGAGCAATAGGCTATACCATATAGCCGAGGTGTACAGTAGGCTGTATCATCCAGGTTTGTGTAAGTGGAAAACATCTGTGATGTTCATATAAAGATGAAATCACCTATTGATGAATTTCTCACAATGTAACCCCACTATTAAGTGGAACATGACTGTACATATGTCTGTAGGTATGTCTATAAACTAGATACAACCTAGGTGTCTGAGAATATGGAATCATTAAATCCTCAAAAACTAGTCATTAAATATGCAGCCACTGATAATGTTGATAATGGTATAACAATATAACAAAAAAAGATAATAAAGCAAAAATCAGTATTAGTCCCTAAAACATGCCCATAAAATAATAGGAAGTATTTTTCACAAAAATAAAAGATGATAATTCTGTTGATATGACAGAATTATAGGTATTTTTCTTAAACTTTTTATAGTTGTCATATTATTTTCATAATTAAAGAAATAAGCATACATTTACCTTATCCCAGAAATCAACCAAAGCTGTGAAGTCCCATTTCTTAGAATATGCCACATTGTATTTCAGAATAGCATCCTATGGAAAAAGCATAAATAAAATCCTCTTAATAGTCAAGTCAATTATCTATGAATAGCCTGTCTGCTTTATGAACTACTCATAGTAAATTTCTTGACGGTGGACAAACTTCCTACTGTTAGCTGTTCCACATCAGCAGCTATGAACAAATATAATGCATATTAATTTATTATTCACTTAAGAAATATGAGATTAAATAAGTAACAGGGGGAAAACATAATTACTCCAAAGCATGCATTCCAGAAGTAATGGAATTCAAGTAGATACAAATTGGATATTGGAGGTTAAAAAAATTAAATTTTATGATGTCTGGCCATCGAAAGGGTCACACAATAAATACAGACATAGTAAAATTTTAGGGGGAGACTATATTAGGGGAAAAAATGTCTAAAAAGGGCCCCTGGTAGAGAGGGCAATAATTAAAAAAAAATGACTGAGAGACACTGCCCTAAGGCATAAAATAGTATTTTCTCCTTTATATCAGCTATTTTTATAAGTTACACATTAATGGTTATCTTCCCCCAGCAGTTCACATAAGCTACATACTACTTAAGTAGAATGAAAAGTAAAAATAGTACACCATCTACAGGTAAACTTACTGTTTGACTAGGCAGTACTTTATACCTGGTTGCCAATTATTAAAAACAGACAACGGGTCCCAAAATGGACTCACTTATGCTAAGCACCACATCACCAAACCAAAACTTATTTAGTTTTGGTTCTCCCAGAAACAGAATCTTAAACCAGTCAATCGGGAATTACCTGGTTGGCACTACTGTGGTCATCTGCCTGATAGACCCTTGCCATTCCTTAAAGGAAAGTGACCTTGCAATAGCCAATCCACTTTTTGCTAATATAACTTCCTTGTTCCCATTCCCTTCCTCCTGATAAAAGTCTTTATTTTGTATAGCTTCTTGGAGCTCCTTTCAATCTGTTGGATGGGATGCTGCCCAAATTCATGAATTGTTGAATAAAGCCAGTAAAGATCTTTAAAATTTACTGAGTTAAAATGTGTTTTTCTAACACCAGATTAGGCTATGGAAAAGATAATTCATTAGTTATGCAGAAAGAGCTATAATTTACAATTATATTTTACCTCATCCTTTTGAATTTCTGTTCTGATTATATTTTAAAATGTGCATACTTTAATAAAGCAATAAAGATGTAGAATTTATAAACTGTTAATACTCATAATATACATCCCAAAATTTGTTTACTGACGGCATATGTAAATCTGAAAGACACTGTTAGATTATTACTATAAATCTTCCAAATTCCTTCATTGTTAAAGAAGTTTGAAAAAATTAACACTCTGCCAAAGAGCTTCCTGAAAATACTTCATGCCATATAAATAATCACCAAGCATCTATGTTGGTTAAAAAATGAGCCAACAGAATGTGTGTTATTTACTTGGGATCAGGGGATATTCAAGTTCCTAGATGTACACTGTAAGTATAAATTTATATTTAGTTTTATGTTTTCACATACCTAATCAACATTACACTAAAAGTAAACAAACTCTGGCAGACACTGAGAAGTTCTTTTATTTCAAAGGAGTACATTACAAGCTCTAAAAACACTGTACCTACGGAATAAAATTTTCAAAATACATTATGGCATATTATCAATGTATTTTCATGTTAAGGGGAAAAAAAACACCAGTAGCTACAGAAACATATAGAAAGTTTAAGGATAACTTATAAGTATAAATGGAAAAACAGTATAAAATCTGAGAAACTATACACAACAAATTAAGTATCTCAAAGACAATGAAACCCATTTTCACAGAAGTATAGAAATATGTTACTGCTTATAGTTATGAACACTTAAAAGTTTACATAGTACTGAAAATAAACATATATTTACTCGTATTTTAGCAACTAGAAAAGCAATCTAATGACTGCCCTTACAGCCTTAAATACTTTTAAAAATCAAAAACTAAATTATTGCCAAAATATAAGATTAATAAATTATTAAACCGCTAGAAGCTATATCAAAAAACAGAAGCAATAAAAGCAATAAAAACAGAAGGCTTAATGTATACTGTAATCATTAGGAAACTTAGCTTTCCTTTGGACAAATATTACTGAAGTCATAATTCTTCTCTCATTTACTTTTGAAGACATTTCAGAAACATGGTAATTCTAAAACAAAAAATAAAAGAGAAGCTTGGCCGGAAGGAAATTGGACGGGGAATCAAGAAAAAGAGATCTAATTTCTGTTTCTCCAAATTATTCTGTGTGGCTGAAAGTAAGCCATTTAGAATTCTTGATACTTCTACTCATTTCTTAGTGATGGAATGGAAACCAAGAATGTCTTTTAATAGAGTTGCTCAGTAAGCAGGCACATTGCAAATAAACAGTGCCATTACCTGAGTCCATTAAAGATTAAAAGAAAAAAAAAAAAAGCCTTTGAGTGAGGAGACACAAGGCCCATATCTGAGAACTACATGTAAGAAGCAAGAAGAGCAAAAAGAAAATACCTTCAGGTTTTGGGGTCGTGCGAATTTGTTGAGAAGTGCAGTCTGAATGAGCTCCCACCTGCTTCCTGCAGTTCGTTCACCATTCTATGAGAAAAAGGTAACACAAATGAGCAAACTAAGTTTTGGTTTTTTGTTTTTTTTTTTGCATCATAGAAGCAGGAATCAAACAAGAATGTACAAAACTATCAGAGACTAAAAGAATATCAGTTCTGTCTTTACCTCATCTTCCACAGGGTACAAGTTTTGCTCTGAACAAGGCATCTTTACATGCTTGTTGTCCCACAAATCTTTAAAATGTGTTGGAAAAGGTTTAGGAACTTCTCCCGCTCGCAAAAGATCTACCTGAAATAGAAATTAACAAGAAGTGTAAGAGTATAAAAATTAGGTGTAACATTCACAAAAGAATAAAGCAGCCAAAGCAAACACTATAAAAAACAAACCACCTCCTATGCAAGAAATCTCAGAAATCTTATTCACCTGCTTCCACTCTTTTTAATCTTAAAATAAATTAAAAATAAAATCTTAAAAACTGGATTATGTTGATGGTTGCCTAACTCAGTAAATTCACTGTTACTGAACTGATCACTTAAAATGGATAATTTTATATACCTCAATAAAAATGTGTTTTAGAAAAAAGAACTCACAGAAAGTATAAAAGAGATTAACAGGGGCTTGCAAGGAATGGGAAGTTATTGTGTAGTAAGTACCAAGTTTCCGTGTGGGATGATGAAAAGGTTCTGAAAATAGTGGTAACGGTTGTATAACATGGTGAATATGCTTAATGCCAATGAAACATAACATTTTAAAATGGTTAAAATGGTAAATTTTCTATTATGTATGTTTAACCACAATTTTAAAAATGAGGTTAGTTTTAGACATGTTGAGTTTAGATACCTGTGGAACAGTGATAGAGATGTCTAGAAAAATCTAAAGCTCAAAAAATAGGGCAAAACTGGAGAATGATTTGAAGATACTGAACCATGACTTTGAATTTTAGGAACTAACCCAGTACCTAACATGCAATGGGTACTCAATAGATATTGTCAAATAATTTTTCTTTAAAGAATCCAATGAATTTTCTTAAAAATACAAAAAAATTTCAATTTCCTCATTCGTTGACAATGATTCATCTTATGGATTTAAGTACCATATTAAGCTATCAATATATTTCTACCTTCTGTAAATTTCCCAGTACTTTATATGCAGAAAACCATTTTCTATGCCTTGGTCTGTTTTTCACAATAAGTATCACAAGAAATCAAGACTTTATTAATCTTCTCTCTTTATAGGTGAGAGATAATATCTACCCGAATAGTTACTGTGTGATTGGCAGATGGTCTCAAGAGAGGCAGCTGGATTCCACACTTAGGCATTGTTCTCATCTCCTCAATAGGAGTTCCAAGCCATTTCTTATCTGGAGAAAGGTGAGGTGGAATGTATTTTGGGATCCTCCTATCTGTTCGTTGGTGTTTGATTTCACATTGTTCTTTCCTAAGGTCAAAACAAATGTATTCAATCATAAAGCACTTACTGTTTAAATTCGCTTGGATACACAGTATAAAACTTACCCATAATGTTATTGTTTAAAATGTGCCAAACTTGTTCTTTTCCTTGTTAATTAAAAAAAACAAAACAAACAAAAATCCTTATAAAGCTTCTAGTAAAACCCAAAAGCTCATTTTCAATAGTCTGTGGTAGGAATTTCCAATTTGGAAAGAGGTTTAGCACTTGTAAATCACTCTCTGAAAAAAGGACCATGTAAAAATATGGACATTGCCAAGTTAAGTCATGGTTCATAGTATCAGTTACTTCTCAGGATGACATGAACTTTGATTGAAAAAAAAATGGAAGAAATGAGTAACACAGACTGGGCTTTACAGTTCTATGTGGAATAACTGCAAAAATGTAATTTTAAATATTTTTTGTAATTAGACTGGGATTTAAACCCCAGTGTTACCACCCACAAATTATGTAATTTCTGTGAATTCTCTAACCCCAATTTCAGTTTTCTCATTTGTGAAGTGAGTACAATACCACCTGCCTGCCCGTCAGAGCATTAGAGAGAATGCAGTATACAATAGCTTAGGAAAATGGCTGAACAGTAGCTACTATCAATCAAATACTTTTATGTCCTGCTAATTCAAATAAATTTCAGAAGGAAGTTCATGAAACTAAATTCCTGATTAACAATACTTATTTACTTCTTATTTTTTCCTGGCCTTTTAAGAATTTAAAGTTTTGAGTCTAAGTATAAATTAGCATAAATAGGTAACAAGAAACACAACTGTTAGTTAGCCTCAGTGTAAACCATCTTTGCTAAACACCCCTTTACAAAATTACAAAATGCACCACACTATTGGAGATATTCCGGATGGAAAAAATTACCTTTTGTCCTCAGCTTTGGGCATTCTCATGAAATGATCCGTGATTTTAGAACCCCTTTTCCCATGTTGCTTAGAATTTCTGCATTCTACATTCAGGCTAGAAGTACTTTCAGGTAGTTTGGTATTTAAATCATTCATTCCAGCACAACTCTCTCCTTCAAATTGGAAATGTAATCGAATTTCACCTCCTTTAGCAGAGGACCGTTTCCTCGATTCAGTGTCAGCTTCTTTTGCTTGGAACCCTGAAGGTTTATTTGCTGTTTGGGAAGAGCTGCTATCTTCTTGTTCATCAAATCCTGGACTTGTTTCTTCATCTGCTTCTGAGTCATGACAACTGTTTTTGGAATTATCTACATCCATTGGTGACTCAAGTTCACTTTCTTTCTCAAATGGAGAATTTCCTAGGCTACTTTCTTGTCTACTCAATTTGTTGACATTTTTCCGTCCAGTACTGACATCTTCTGATCCAATGTCTGACAAGGGACTCTCCGGCACCACATCAGTCTCTTCCTGCTGACAATCTGCAAAGTCTTCCACAAGATGGCAAGACTTTCTGCACTTCTGGAGACTTCTGGCTTCTCTGGCCTGTTCACCTTCTCTAGTCTGCTTTGCATTTGCAAGCATTATAGGTATAAAAAACTGTTGGTTATCTCTACTTTCCTCACTATGTGTGTCCCTTTGATCATCATTTTGAGGTGACTGATCAACGTTAGCATTACTGAACTGTTCAGATACCAGAGTTACTGTTGGAGGTTCACCTTCCAAAAGCTGCTCTGTATGTTTTCCTTCAGTTTGCCTCTTATACATAGCTGCAGTCTGACGCTGGTTCAAATATTTTGCACTTTTTTCAACTGGTGTTTTATCAATACTTAGCTGAGAAACATTTTCTAATTTTTCCATGTTATGATGATAACAATTATCTTTTTGTACAAAACTCATCATGGATTCTACTCTTGTATTGTTGTTTTCTTTACTATGCAAACTATAAGAAAATAGAAAGAACTAATGATATAATAAAACTGATGTTTTAATAGAAAAAACTTATGATGCAAGAAAACCACTTACCCAACCACATTCCCATAATGTCAAAGCAATAATTAAATTACTTGTGAGTTACTTGAGCATACAGCATTCTTATTCAGGCCTCCATATCCTTGCACATATGCCTTGAATGCCCTTTCCCCAACTACGTGCCTGCCAGAAGTGTTAAAACTTTACTCACTCACTGTACAGTCTTTTCTGCAAAGGTAAAGTGGATTGTTTATTCTATAATATTAACCACCACTGTACCTTGTTTATACCTTTACTATTGCATTTATCACACTAAGTAATACAGCAGGTCCTGAAATAACATTATTTCATTCAATATCTTTCTGCTATAATGTTGATAAGATGCAGTAGAAACTTACTTCTTGTTTATATCAATTAGCCTTTAGCAAAACTGGTTTCATTATATGTCATTTCGGGAAGCCTATTGGCAATATTAAATTAGGACTTACTGTAATCATGTGTTTCTGTATCTGTCACCACCACTACAAGTATCTTAAAGTCAGAGACTATTTCTCCTTCTCTGTATCTCAAGTACATAGGACAGTCCCTGGCATATAGGAGACTCTAAAAAATTATTAATTATAAACTGAAAGAAGGAATAAATGTAGAGTTAAAAAGGATAACAAAGCAAGGACAAAATAGCATGAAGCAAGATAAAACATCCATATATCTATGATGTTATTCATTTCTCTATATATGTATGTTTCTATACCTTTCTGATTCAGCTGTCTTGATTCCTTTAGTGTCCATCCAACTGGTAATAGTCTTTTGTTTGAACACTGTTAAAAAAAAAAACAAACAGCCAAAACATTACTGTATATGCCTACCTGTCTCCAAAGAGAAAATACTTTTAACAACATATATACATGCAAGGCCTTATGCTAAGTTATGTGGGCTAAAAAAGATTAATCACTCCCTTGGGACTCAAGCAATGGGAGATACTACAGGAGCATAAATATATTTCATCAGAGAGTAGAAAGCAACCATTCTGTAAAAGAGATGGTATGGCCTAATGGATGAAGGCACAGGCTCTACAATCAGATCACCTGGATTCAAACCCTGGCTCCCACAACTAGATTCCTATGTGACTTTGTGAAGGGGCCTTTCTCTGTGTCTCAGATTCCTTATCTGTAAACATGTAAATTAATAGTATCCCTCTTGGGATTACAAAAAAGTGTCAAAAGTCACACTCATAGCTGTAATTCCATAAATCTAATCTAGGAAGCTCCTTTGTAGTCTGGAGGGCAAATCTGAAGGGGCAAGAAGAAACAGCTCATTGGCAGAAAACAGCAAGAAAGCTACTGATCTAGCTCAATGGTTCTCAAACCACCTGAATCATCAGGAGGCTGCTAATAAATGGATCCCAGGGCCACACTCAGACCTACAGAATCAGAATCTATGTGTGATGATGGAAGTATGAGGGGAGCTAGAATCCGTATTTTTTTTCAAAAAGTGATTCTGATTATCAACTAGGTTGGAGAACTATTGGCCAAGGACCAGAACTATCCTTGTGAGAACAAAGAAGAAAAGGTGAGAAGTGAGTCATTAAAGATTTACAATTGTAGGAGAAGTTAAAGGTAACACTAAGTTTTAAGCTTGAGAGACTCAAAAGATCATTACAGCATTAAATGTGGAATATAATTCCACTGGATTTAGGGAGAAAATATGATTAGGTCAATTCTGAACTACTAAAATTGAGATGCCAGTGAGATCACTACATAGAAATGGCCAGCAGAGTCCCAAAAGTGCAACTGATGGTTCAGCAGAGAGAGATGCAACATAAACAAATGCAAGTGACAATTTATAAAGTATTAGAAATATGCATGTTTTCAGAGTTTAATGTATTTCATGTATATAATGTATAATATGAAATTTATATAATATACATTAATGTATATAATATTTTAGTATAAAAAGACAAAATCTTCAATAGTCTCAACTACTGTCTAAATTGCAATGTAAGAACCTAGGCATCTTCAATTATAGATTCATTCTAATCTACCTATGTCCCCTCAAACACAATAACATGAGCAAAAGAGATACTGTCCCAAATAAATAAAAATCAACAGCTTATTTATCACTGTAATTGACTGCCACATAATTTGTACCTCCCACAAAATACTAACATTCCAACTACTAAAAATCTGTTCAGCATTTTTAAAATAGCTTCTTTCAAAAAATGTATAGATATAAAAATTTGAAATATATATATATTTGATGTCTCTTGTTAAAGACCACTACTTCAGTAATTTAATTAAGTTAGTACTTCTACAGCAAATCGGGCTTCAGGAAAAAAAACAGTTTCAATCAGAAGGGAGTAAGAAATGAATCATTGGATTCTGAGACTTTTTCTATAGTTCCATCTTCTTTATTTAATTTCATTATGTCAAATACAGCAAGTATAGAAAATCCTCAAATTAAAAACCAGCAGTGAGCCAAAAAAATTCATTTTTTGAGTCAGTGTAGAATTTAAAATACCTTTTTCCATAAATATAAGGATTAAATGGTATGCAATGGCTAGGTTCCCATAATACACATGAATCACAATGACAAGTCTATGGAACCTAAAGATTGCCTACATTGTTTCATTAAAAAATATATATCTATTTTATATATTATATATATATAAATATATAAATATTATATATAAATATATAAATATTTATATATAATATATAAAATATATATATGTTGTTCTAGTACAGTTGAAGGGCAGGAGGGCTCTCTCTCCTGAAACTCTGGCACTGAGCCTGTGTTCCCTCACTTCAGACTTCCTACTATCATTCCTGAAACCTGAGAACAGGACAAAGGAGAATCAATACATGAAGAACTAATATTTCTTACTAACAGAACATTCCTTGGTCCTTTTGAAGGTCCCAGAAAAAGGAATGCCTACTTCTCTTTCCAATACCACTACTTCTGGCTTCCTTGCTTTTGCAACACATCACAGGACAGGGTCAGTTTTACCTCTCTAATTCCTGAAGTAAGCGTAAATTGATGCTTCCCAGGTTTTCTGGGGATTTCTTCCTTTTAACTAAAAATAATTACAGCAAACTAAAAGGGAAGCAATAGAAGTTGATAAAAAATATACAAGATCTGGAGTCAAACAATATTAGATTGAGATTTTTGCTAAGTCACTTAGAAGTTCATTTCTTTGAGCCTCTATCTTCTCACCTATAAAATGTGAATAACAATACCTACTTCCAAGGCTTATGTAGATCAATGAGAGAAAATATTTAGTATCCAGTCTCACAGAGCAGAAGCTCAACAAATGTATTATTCTCTTCCAACACTTACACCCAACCTTTTTCACTAAGATCAGCAGTTACCCAACTTTATTATGACTTCACACCATTTACACACTCTTATCAGTAACATCACTCAGTAATCAGCATATTTCAATAAGCAGTTCAATTAATTACTCAGCTACAGGAAAAAGGCACAAAAACTTAAAATTCACTTGCATATCAAAAGAACACCCCACCTCCACAAAAAAATCTTTCCTCCAGCAGCAAGATGAGGTACGGGAAGGAACGATGTGGTAAGAACAAAGAGCAATGGAGCCAGTGGGAGAGTTTCTGAGATGATGAAAGAAGGCTGGAGATGCTTTTGAGAGCACTAAACAACATGGGACAATCCATCTCCAGCCGCTCATTCACCAACAACTGACCTACACTTGAACCATCTCTGGAGTGGGGAGAGAAACTCTAGGTAGTTATAGCAGGCAGAATAAGGGAGCTTCCACAACACAATTTGACAAATCCTTTCCTATCAGAATGTGAATAGCATGCTAGGTTCTGCCTATATGTAGATATGCAAATTTCAATCAATATAAGAAATGTGCTCGGGAGATAAATAACACAAAATTTAAAGATACTGAAAAAATATCTACTTCCTTATCCCACCTACTTCTCCTAGAATAACTACAGATAAAAATTTCAAATTCCAAGTTTCTAAAAAAGAAAAATAAATTCCAAAATTTGAAACAACTGTTTTTGATATATTTAAGACTGTGAACATTTTGTTAACTAGTGCCCTGGGTCAGGAAAACATTTCTACACATAAGTACAGCCCAAGTATTAATTTGGCTCCTCTTCTGCATAAAATTAGAAGATCCCACCAGTGAGGATTAACTGCCCCCTACCACCTGCAACTAACTTCTCCTTTATCTGCAAATAAAGTTAATGGAACCACAAATCAGCCTGTCATGTAAATCAGACACGATAGCTAGAAGTCACCCTCAGTTTCCCCTCCTCTCCACTTTCCTTCACCAAATATTCTGAAATCTACATCCGAAATCTTAAACTCATCCTTTCATCTTCATCTTCAAAATAGCACCAACATTAAAAGAACAAGTCCATCACTTATCAGACAACTGCACTTGTTTCTTACAACTGGTCTGTCTATAGTCTTCACTTTCTGTTTTACAAGCTACAAATGACAACATAAGAATGCATCATATACAGCAAGGTTATTATTTCATGAAACATTTCTTTGTTCTAAACAAAGCATATTTACTTGGTTACATATATTCCTTACTCTACATCCAAGGCGAAATTCAAACTGTGGGTTACAGTTAGAAAAGACTGCCTAAGCAATCTTTTCTAATAACCAAATGGTACCCCCCTTCTTAAAAACTTTTTAGTGGCTCCCCATTAACCACAGAATAAAGCCCAAATGCCTTGAGATGGCACTCAAATGTCTGATAAGCTCTTGCCCAGTTTCCCAGCCTCATCTGACACTGTCATTCTGCACTCCAGTCCTACCACCTTTTAAACATGCCCATTTTTGTTCTCTCTGATTTATACAGCAAACCCTGCTCATCCATCAACACTTAGTTTAGATCTGCTTCCCATCGCCTCTAAATGCTAAGAGAAGTGTACACCACTCACCAGAGGGCTTTCTGAGCTCCTTTTTGAAATGCTGTCTTCCTTCCATAACAAAAGCCAGACTTTCCTTCTACCTCTCTAGCTGCTTCTCATAAGTCTCCTCTTAAATGATAGTGCTCCTAAAGTTTCTGTCCTAGGTCACTTTTATGTTCTCCACATGCTACTTCCATAGCATCAATTATCATCTTTATGCCAAACTCTCAAACCTCCATTTACAGCACAAATATACTTCTTATGAGTGTACAAACCCATATAACCCATTCTCTTCCACATGGAACCACTTCTCCCCTTCCCTGTTGCCCACAGCTAAATATAAATCATCATTATTTCCCACTTACACTAACTTTTAACGTGTTGGGCCTGTACGTCTTTCAATCCATTATTTTTCATACACCGGGCACAGGGACCTTTATCCTCACCACCAAGAGATTATATATATGTATGTTCAAATCACTCCCTTACTTAAAGCCCTTTAATCGCTTCTCATTGCCCTTAGATATAAAGTGCAAATCCCTACAAGTCCCAATATGATCTGATCTTTGCCTATCTCTTTCAGTCCCATCTCTCACTACTCTTTCTTCACAGTATGAATCAGGTGCACTTTGGGAATACTTCCTTACTTCCTCTTCATCTAGCTAGATCATTATTCTTCAGTCCTCAGATTAAGCATCTCTTCTTCTGGGAGAGTACCTTTGGTACCAGACCGAATTTAGGTACTCCTACCATCTATCAAAACATCCATTTCCCTTTATCATGTTGACTTCTGTAACTGTCTATCTCCCTTGATAAATTTTAGGGTCTGAAGACAGAGGCCAAATGACTCTTGTTATTCGACTCTGTATACCTAAGTACACTGAGAATCGGAATCTGAATTGAAGTGAGCTGTACCTTTCTTTCAATACAAAGGCTGAAGCTTCACATACACAATTACACCTCCTTAACAACTAAGACAATTTCTCAGTCAAACCCTAGTACAGCAAAAGATGGAGTCTTCTGTCATTTTCTGCCCTGTGACTTGCTTATCAGGGTTTCTCATACCAACAACCGCAACAGGGAAAATGTGGTCCCATTCTCCCCATATCAGCCTTAGTGGCTCAGCAAGGGGACCTCGCAGTGGTGCACACTAGACCAGAGGGTTTCTGGAGTCCCTGGGTTCTCACATGGAGACCAAAAAGAGGTTTGGGCCGAGGCGAAGGAAAAGATCTTTATTCCCCCACGTACCAAGCGAGGTGGCGCTGCCTCTGTGCGGTCCCGCCCACCCCGAGGTGCAGCCGGACGGAGAGGGTGGGACCCTGAACTGCACAGGAGCGTCCTTAGGGTCGAGGGCGCGCCTCTGCCTGCCGGGTAAGCTCCGGGTGTCCGAGGCGGCCGGCGGAGAGGTCGCAGAGGTGCCCCAGCGGGGTCGCTTGGTGATGGGCTCACAGCCGGGGCCCGCACTCATGCTGGGACCCACACCGCACAGTCCCCGGGCCGGCCCGGGCAGAGAGCTTTATTCACTAACCCTGGGGGGCGGACTGCGCCTCCTTCTCGGCGCCTCCAGGCACCATTCCCTCTCTGCTGCTGCCTGCTTCTGCAGTTGCTGCTCCGCCGGCTTTCCCAGCCAGGCCCTACCCCGTCGCCTGTCTTCCCTCTTTCACAGGTAACCCGCCTGCCTCAGGATGCACCGCCCTGACTCTGGCTACGTTCACTTTTCCACCACCAGAAAGTTGCCGTTAGGCGCGCCCGGCTTCCGGGCCGTACAAAGTCGTAAAGCGGAAGTGTGGGGCTTAGCGGACACCGGCGCCCGGAAGGTCAGCGTGTGAAGGAGTAGGTAGTAACGTGAGTCTACCCGCTTCTGCTGGGACACAGGAGCCAAACGACCCCGGCCTGAGGCAAACGGGCGGTTTGCTGCGAGACCATGGAGGGCGGCGGGGGAAGCGGCAACAAAACCACAGGGGGGTTGGCCGGCTTTTTCGGAGCCGGCGGAGCTGGTTACTCGCACGCGGATTTGGCCGGCGTCCCGTGTAAGTATCGGGCGCGGCTTGCGAACGTTTCTGACTGATTCTTGGCGACTGCGCCAGGCAGGCAGTGTGCCTTGTTCTCATTTTTGTTGGTGTTCACAATTTACAGTAGCAGCGGTGCGGTTAGTATATGTCCCTGCCGCTTTGTCAAGATTGAACAAGTTTTTGGAGCCTTGAATCCCCGAGAATTCTCTGTGGTTGACCTGGACTTAGGAAGTGTTGCATCTTTTCTTTTATACTCGAGCTTTGGGGCCTTATTTTTCCTCCCACACATTTTCTTGTGTGTTGGGCTATGTGCTTGGCCCTGCTTTAAGAGGAGAGCGCAGCTGTGCACTTAAATGTATTCCAAATAGGGGTCCCATAGAAAACATTTTAGTACAAAGCCGTATATTCTAAACCACAAAGTAGCCGTCAGGTAAAACACTCAGTAATGTATGTAGGCGAGAAAGAAATAGGAGCCGAGACAAATGGAGCTGGGGAGTGGGCTGCACTTTAAAGTTAAAGGTTATTTATACACATGAAGAATTTTAAGAGAGGCGTTGTGCAAGATCGAGGATGCAGAAGCACGAATACCATGCCCTTGCCTTCTCCTCAGTCCTAAGAATATGTGCCAGATTTTTCAAACTTTGTAGGAATTCGACTGAATGAATAAAACTTGGAATTAAAGATAGTAGGAACTTGGCAGAGGATAAGCGCTTTATAAAAGCTTTTTCTCCCTTGAGAATTCTTGTATTGTTTCTCTAGGTCTTTTATGCTTAAGAACAAAAAAAAAAGCCCTTTCAAGTTCCTTGTGTCAAAACATTCTAGAACACAGTTTATACATAATAAGTCTTAGGAGCTCTGAGTTTTGGAGCACAGAGGGCACTGACTTAATGTAGTAAAACATTGTTACATTAATTTGATTAAGATTTGAAGGCAAAGTGAGTGATGGATAGGTGAACACCATTCATTGAGCACCTACAATGAGTCAAATGACTTTTATGGGTGCAGGCCTAGAGCAGTTAAATTATTTTAAAAAGATGGCTGCTGCTTTCATGGAGTTTACATCCTTTTGAAGTGAGCCAAGTAACAGGTAAAAAACATTTCAGTTAGTGATAAGTGTGTGTAAAGGCAGTAAAATGGGATAATGAGATTGTGTTCAGAGCAGAAAGCTATTTTAGAATGGATTAGGGAAAGCATCTCAGGGATGTTTGACATTTGAGGTGTGATCTGAATGCAGTACAGATGCCTGGGAGGAGACTGAAAATACCTAGTACAAATGCCCTGAGGGGGGAAAAAAACGGCATGTTGAAGGAACAACCATTAATTAGTGTGTCTACAAGTTGGGAAAGAGTTGGAGTGGTAGCAGATAATGAGATCAGAGGGGCAAGAAGTGGCAGCTAATGCAGTGTTTTGTAAGCCTTGGTAAGGAATTCGGATTTGATTGTGTGTAAATGGCAGCCATTCAGGCTGATTTCCTTTTTTTAAGAAATCACTTTAATTCCTAGGTAGTAAATGAATATAATTAGGTAGGAGATTGTTATTGTAGTCTAGGTGAGATTTTAATGGTTGGACTAGGATGGTAGCAGTAAGGATGGTGATAAGTAACAGTACAAGATAGCTACTGAATATAGAACTAATAGGACTTTCAGTTGATGAAGACCAGAGTTGTGTGTAATGCACCAATTTCTGAACAATCAACTGAGATACAGTAGGGTCCAAAGATTAGTTTTAAAGCCTGAGAAAGTTGATTTTCCTTGATAGATTTTTCTAATTTCAGTTAGTGAGATTCAAATCTGGCCCTTTTGAGTTTCCATTTTCTTTTTCCCTGACCCCCCCTTCTCTGTGGTGATGGCCCAAGAATTCCCTATCCTGCCACAGTAAATAAACTCTGTTCAGCAACAGCTAACACTAAGATCTGAAGGAACTGCCATAAGCTATTTATATACAACACATAATCCAAACACTGTTTTTCCCATGAAATTCATTCATCTCTTGTCAGTCTTATTTTGCAGTTTGTACAGTTAGCAAGCATTCTTGTAGCAAATAGAAAGAAATTAGCGTTATAATTGACTTGGGCTATACTTCCTGATACTTTGACCATTTGATACTTGTTACTCCCAATACCATCTTTCTATGAGAGCCTGAGTCACCACTGCAAGATGTGGGTTGAGACTGAAGACAGCAGAAGGAGGCGGCCCCAAAACTGCCAGGCAAGAAGGGTAAGAGTAGAAAAATGGGAGAAAATTTCACATTCAGTGAGTCTGTAAATCACCGTTGCAAAACATGAAACAAAAGCAGAATTGATGCTAAATGAAATAACTTTAAAATTGTTTTGTTGTGGTATCATGTTTTGTTTTCTCTCTAGTGACTGGTATGAATCCTCTCTCACCTTATTTAAATGTGGACCCACGATATCTTGTGCAGGTAAGGTTAAGACGAGTCCTTTTATGATTTTACTATTTATGTGCTTACCATTAAAAAAAAATTTAATGCCAGGTATTTATGCTTACCTAATCTGTAATGTGTACTTTTGGAAGCACCAAGTCTCAGGTCTCTGTTCACCCTTTTTTTCTTATGAACCCTGGGAATTTGGCTTGCAGCTCTCCCAGACACTAGCTGATTAAATTGATGTAAGTGTTTCGTTCACTGTCGCTAAATATATTTATACAACTATTACGACCTATTATATCTATCTATCACCCTTTCATTCTTTAAAACAAACTATACAGTAGTCCCCTCCTTACCCACAGTTTTCCTCTCTGTGATTTTAGTTACCCATGGTCAACCCATGCTCTGAAAATATTAAGTGGAAAGTTCCAGAAATAAAAAATTCATAAATTTTAATAGGCATGCTGTTCTGAGCAGTGTGATGAAATCTCCAGCTCTGTCCCACAGAGGAAGTCATTCCTTTGTTCAGCAGATCCACACTGTATATACTACCCTTCCCTTATAGCCTTTTCCATTATCAGGGAGAGAGAGACAGAGACCCACCACATTCACATAACTTACTTCAGAATATTGTTATAATTGTTCTATTTTATTATTAGTTATTGTTAAACCCTTACTGTGCCTAATTTATAAATTAAACTATTATAAGTATATTGTATAGGGAAAAACATAGTCTATATAGAGTTCAGTACCATTGACAGTTTCAGGCATCCACTCAGGTTCTTGGAACATATCATCCATAGATAAGGGAAGACTACTGTACCCATTACAAAACAACTCTTCATTCTGCCCTCCCCCAACCCCTGATAACCTGTCTCTGATTTTGTACACTTTAAATACCTCAAGTAAATAGAATCATATAGTATTTGTCTTTTTGTGACGGGTTTATTTTATTTAGCATAATGTCTTCAAGGTTCATCTGTATTATAGCATGTGTCAAATAGCCTTCCTTTTTAAGGCCAATAACATTCCATTGAATAATACTATATTTTGCTCATCCATTCATCTGTCCATGGACACTTGGATTGCTTCCATGTTTTAGCTATTGTAAATAATGCTGCTGTAAACATTAGTGTACAAATATAAATACTTCTTTCAGATCCTCCTTTCAGTTTTTTTGGTTATATAGCCAGAAATGGAATTGCTGAATTGCATGGTAATTCTGGTTTGGTTTTTGGTTTTTTAAGGAATTGCCATGTTGTGCTCCATAGGAGCTATCCTATTTTGCGTTCCCACCAACAGTGCACAAGGGCTCCAGTTTCTCCACATCCTCATCAATACTTGTTATTTTTTTGAGTTTTTTTGTGGTTTTTTTTTTAGTCACAGCTGTTCTAATGAGATGATGGCTCATTGTAGTTTTGATTTGCATTCCCTAATAATTAGTGATGTTAACCATCTTTTTAGTGCCTTTTTATTGGCCATTTCTATATCTTTGGAGAAAGGTCTGTTCAAGTCCTTTATCCATTTCGAATTGAGTCTTTTTTGGTTGGTTTCTCTATATACTCTAAATATTAACCCTTAATCAAATGTATGATTTGAAGATATTTTGTTCTGTTCTGTAGGTTGCTATTTTAGTCTGTTGATACTGTCTTTTGATGCACAAAATTTTAAAACTTGCATGAAGGCCAAATTTTTGTTGTTGTTCTCTGCGCTTTTGGTGTTGTATCCAAGGTATCATTGCCAAATCCAAAGTCGTGAACCTTGTCCTATATTTTCTTTGAAGAGTTTTAAGGTTTTAGGTCTTATATTTACCATATTTTGCCATGTATCATGCTCACTTTTTGCCCAGATTTTCGAGGGAAAAATAAGGATGTGCATTATACATGGGTAGTACTAATTCTGTATCCATGTAAATGTTTTTAATTCTTTTATTTATGCTTATGTGTTAAAAATGTAACTCTAGAAAGCAATAACAATATTCATATGCAAGTAATATCCTGGAATATGAAAGCCGGTTTTGTTTCTAATATAAATAAATAATTGAATTAAAAAATTAAAACAAAAGATTTTTTTTTCCCCCTGACAATTTGGGCTGAAAACATGGGAGCACATTGTACACGGCAAAATACGGTAGGTCTTTGATATGATTTGAGTTAGTTTTTGTATACAGTGTTACATAAGGATCCAGCTTCACTTTTTTATGTGGATATTGTTTCATCTTTTCCTCATGGAACCATTTTGGCACTCGTTGAAAATCATTTGACCATATATGTGAGGGTGTATTTCTGGGCTCTGTATTCTATTTCATTGGTCTATATGTCTATCTTTATGCTAATACCACACTTTTGATTACTGTAGATTTGTAGTAGGTTTTGATAACAGGAAGAGTGAGTCCACCAGCATTGTCCTTTTTCAATATTGTTTTGGCTGTTATGGGTACACTGAGATTCCATATGAATTTTAGGATGGGTTTTCCTGTTTCTGCAAAAATATCATTTATATTTTGGTAGGCATTTCTTTGAATCTGTCAATTGCATTGAGTAATGTTGGCATCTTAACAGTATTGTATTGTCTTCCAGTCCATGAACATGGGATGTATTTTATTTGTGTTTTTAATAAGTATTTTTTATTTTTTAATAAATTATTTTCATAATTTCTTCTTCTAATTGTTCTTTGTTAGTAGGTACAAATGCATCTGATTTTTGTGTGGCTTTGTATCCTGTTACTTGGCTGAATTCATTTACTAGTTCTAACAGTTTCTTTGTTTGGTCTTTAGGATTTTATACATGTAAGATCATATCTGTGAAGAAAGAAAATAATACTTATTCTTTTCCAATTTGGATACCTTTATTTCTTCTTGCCTGACTGCTTTGCCTAGAACATCCAGTACTACTGTGTTGAATAGAAGTGGCAAAAATGGGCATCCTTGCCTTGTTAACAATTAGAGGAAAAGCTTTCAGCCTTTCAACTTTGAATATGATGTTCACTGAGGCTTTCCCCTGTGTGTTTTTTATTATGTTGAGATTGTTTCCTTCTCTTCCTAGTTTGTTGAGTGTTCTTATGACAAAAGTGTGTTGGATTTTGTCAAGTTCTTTTTCTGCATCAATTGAGGTGGTTGTGTGTTTTTCTTTTCTTCATTCTTGTTATGTGGTATCATCACATTGATAAATATTTATATGTTGGACCATCCTACATTCCAGGAATAAATCCCCCTTAGTTGTGTATGATTCTTTTAATATGCTGCTGAATTTGGTTTCCTAGTATTTTGTTGAGGGTTTTGCATCAGTGTTCATAAAAGGGATAATGGTCTGTAGTTTTCTTGTATTGTCTTTGTCTAGCTTTGTTATCGGGGTAATGCTGGTCTCATACAAAAGGTTATAGAGTGTTTAGGTATTTTCCTGCACTTCAGTTTTTTGGAAAAGTTTGAGAAAGATTGTTGTTCTTTTTTAAATGTTTGGTAGAATTCACCATTAAAGCTATCAGGTCCAGGGCTTTGTTTTACTTTGTTAGATTTTTTTTCTGTTACTCATTCAATCACCTTACTAGTTACAGATCTATATAGATTTTCTGTATTTTGGTGATTTTGTATATCTAAGAATTTATATATTTCATCAAGCTCATCCCAGTACTTATAACAATATATTATTATATATGTTAAATATATTAACAATATATTTTAATTCTGTAGAATCAATAATGATGTTCTCGCCTTCATTTCTGATTTTAGTAATTTGAGTCTTCTCTTTTTTTCTTAATCCATCTAGCTAAAGGTGTTTTAAAGAATCAACTTTGAGTTTCATTGGTTTTCTCTTTCTTATTCTCTGTCTCTGCACTAATCTTTATTATCCCCTCATTCTGCTAGCATTGGGTTTAGTTTTTTCTTTTTCTAGTTTTTTTAAGTTGTAAAATTAGATTGTTGATTTGAGAGTAGTTCTTTTTTTTAATGGAAGCATTTATAGCTATTAATTTCCCTCTTTAGCACCCTTTCACTGAGTGTCATAAGTTTTGGTATATTGTATTTTCTTTTTTTACTTACCTCTATAGTATGTCCTAATTTCCCTTTTTATTTCTTCTGTGTGCTGTTGACTAAGGGGTTAATTTCCACAAATTTGTATTTTCCTGTTTTACTTCTGTTATTGATTTCTAACTCTCTGTTGTGGTTGGAGAAGATACTTTTTATGGTATCTTTCATGTCTATTGAGACATAATTTGTGGCCCAATGCATGGTCTGTCCTAGAAAATGTCCCACGTGCACTTGAAAGAATGTCAGTACTTTGACATTGTAGTATGTATGTCTCTTAGATCCAGTACGTTTATCATGTTAAAACCTGTATTTCCTTATCTTCTCTCTGGTTTTAATGAATACTATTATTAAGAGTGAACTGTTGACGTCTCCAATTATTAATTGTAGCATTTTCTATGTCTACCTTTAATTCTGTCACGTTTTACTTAATAATATTTTGATGATCCCTTATAGGTAAGTAAATGTTTATAATTGATATATCTAATTGCTGTATAGAACCTTTTATTAATACAATGTATGTTACTTTGTCTCGTGTAACCTTTTTTGATTTAAAGTCTGTATTTTCTGATATTACAATATCCACTCTGCTCCCTTTCAGTTATTATTTGCATGGAATATCTTCCATTCTTTGACTTCCAATCTTTTTTTGTCTTTGGATCTAAATGAATATCTTGTAGACAGCATAGAGTTGGATCATGTTTTTTTGTTGTTGTTGTTTTAATCCAGTATGCCAATCTCTGTCTTTTGGTTAGAGAGCTAATCCTTTTACTTTTTTTTCTATTTCTTTTTTTTTTTTAATCCTTGCTCGTGGACAGTTTTTCATTGCTTTCAAAGAGAGAGGAAGGGAGAGAAACATCTATGCAAGAGAGAAGCATTAATTGGTTGCCTCCCATAAGCACCTGGACCAGGGATTGTAGGTGCCTGAGAATCAGAGATCAACCTGTAACCTAGGTTTTGCCCTGACTGGGAATCAAACCCACACCCTTTGGGTTGTGGGACAACACTCCAACCAACTGAACCACACTGCCCAGGGCTTCATTTACTTTTACAGGGATTGCTGATAAAGAGAGTCTTCTGTCATTTTGCTATTTTCTATAGGCCTTTTAAAAAGCTTTTTTCCCCTCATTTTCTGCATTACTGTCTTTATTGTTTACTTGATTTTTTTGTAGTTAAATACTTGTTTCTCATTTATTTTGTGTATATTCTGTAGTTATTTTGTGTGTGTGTGGTTACCATGGGGATTACATTTAACATCATAAAGTTATAACATTAACTTGAATTTATATCAGCTTAACTTCAATAACATATAAAAATGCTGCTTTTTTATAGTTCTGTCTCTGCCACCTTCTGATTGTTGTCACAAAATTGTATCTTTATACATTGCATGCCGAAAAACATGCATAACAACTCTTTTAAATGCTTTTGTCTCTAAAATTGTGTAGAAAAAATATAGAGTTAAAAACCAAAGTTGTAATAATACTAACTTTTATAATTGCCCGATGAATTTGCCTTTCCTGATTGTTCTCTCTTCATAAAGCTTCCAGTTACTGTCCAGCGTCCTTTCATTTCATTTTACAAGACTCCCTTGATCATATCTTTCGGGACAGGTCTAGCGTTCATGGACTCCCTCAGCTTTTGTTTACCTGGTAATGTCGTAATGTCTCCCTCACTTTTGAAGGACAGTTTTAGTAGGGACAGCATTCTTGGTGGGCTTTTTTTTTTTTTTCTTCTCTTAGCACTTTAAATATATTGGTTCACAGTCTTGTGGCCTTAAAAGTTTCTCTTGAGAAATCTGCTGATAATCTTACTGAGGATCCCTTATATGTGGTGAGTTGGTTTTCTTACTGCTTTTGAGATTCTCTTGTCTTTGGCTTTTAAAAATTTGATTTTGATACATCTCATTGTGGGTCTCTGAAATTATCTTAATGTTCATTGAGCTCCTGGGATGTTCATATTCATCTCTTTCATCAAATTTGAGAAGTTTTCAGCCATTAAGTTTTCTCTCTATTGATTTGATTTGGTGTTTTCCATTTTGCTTATACATTGTTTTGACTTTCTCCACATCTCTTAGTTCTTAGAGCTCCCTTAAACAATTGTTTTTAAAGTTTTTGCATAGTAGATTCTACACCAGGTTATTTTCAGGGACATATCTGTTGATTTTTTTTTTTTCCTTTTGAATGGGCCATCTTTCCTATTTCTTCTGTATCCCTTGTGATTTTTCTTGCTGAAAACTGGACACTCTGGAAATCAGATTCCCTTCCCCAAGTTTTGCTTTGTTGGTATTGTTTTGGGGTTGTGTGTGTTGGGGGGGTGAGAAATATATTTTTATTACAGGCTGTCTCTGTTTTGAGGACCCGCCTGAGGCATAAACTTAAGGTCTCTTCAGTTCTTTTTTAATCCTATACTTTTTTTCTGGGCATACCACTTTTTAATTTTCCGTATACATTCAGTTTGCTTTTGAATATCCTACTTTTAATGTCTGGCTCTCAGAGGGAGAAAAAGCAAACTCAAAAGGGGAAAGAAAAAAAAGAGATCAACTCTTCTTTAAATCCTCTGGAAGTCAGCAGCGGGTGGGGCATGTAGTAGCAATGGCTGCCCTCTTCTTTCTTTGCACCTCCATGATCATAAGCAGCAGTCAGTGATCAGAGCTCAGGTTTAAAGTTTATTTTTAAAAGCAACAAGGAGTTAATTTAAATAGCATCCAAGTAAAAATACTGAGTGATTTGTTACAAAGTTAAAAGAAGTCATTAATAGTAAGTTAAACATAAATGAAAAAGTATAGCCTGGGAATCTTTTTAAATGAAATCTTGAACCAAATCCTTACATATTAAAAAAGAAAGTACTTAAGTACTTGAGTTTATTTTATTAGATCAGATTATTAATATTATTCAGAAGCCTGGATATAACAGTGGTCAGATGAACACTAACATTTGAAATCAGAGTTATACATGTGAAGATTTAGACATTGGCTTCGGCATTCTTTGGTGTTTTGCTTTGATTGGTATTTTTGGTTGCATTTGTTTGCTTGTTTTTGTTTTACTGGCATATTGGATGAAACTGATCAAGAAACTTCAAGAAGTTTTGCTGGAAATCTCAGGAACAAAAGATTGATTTATCATCTGAAATATCAGTAAAGGACAGAAACTACATGATTAGCTCCATAGATGCAGAAAAGCATTTGACAAAATTCAACATTCCTTTGTGATTTAAAAAAAAAAAAAAAACACACCCAGTAAACTGGGAATAGAAGGGAACTTCTTCAATCTGATACTTTTTTTAAAAATTAAAATTTCCAAAGCTAACATCATACTTAATGGCAAAAGTCTAAATATTTTCCCACTAATAAGGAACAATACAAGGATGTCTATTCTCTTCACTTCTAATCAGCATTATCTAACCAGGGCAGTTAGGCAAGAGAATGAATGGCATCCAAATTGATAAAGGAAGAAATAAAACTATGTATTTGTAGGTATCATGATCTTATGTATAGAAAATTCTAAGGAAACCACAAAAAACTTCTAATACACAATTTTTGCAAAGTTGAAGGATACAAGATCAGTATACATAATTATTTTTTTATATAATAGCAATGGACACTACAAAATGAAAGTGCAAAAAAAAACCAATTCCATTTATAATGACATCAAGAAGAATAAAATATTTAGGACTAAATTCAACAAAAATACAAAATTTATACTCTGAAAACTACAAAACATTGAAAAAACTTTAGACAAATAAATTGGAAGATATTTCCATATCTTGGGAGATTCAATATTGTAAAAATAAGAAGAATTTCCAATTGACCTGCAGATTCAACAGCCTCTATCATAACCTCAGCTGGCTTTTTTGCAGAAATTGGCTGATTTTGAAATTCATGTGAAAATACAAAATATACAGAATGGCCAACAATCTTGAAATGAAGAACAAATAGGAGTTGTCACACTTCCCAATTTTAAAACTTACTCCAACGCTACAATAATTTAGACATTTTACTACTAGCGTAAGGACAGATCTATATCTATATCAACAAAATAAAATTGAGAGTCCAGAAATAAACCCTTCACATTTATATCAGTAGATTTTCAACAACGGTGCCAAAACAAAATAGGAAAAAGCTGGTAATCAGATTTTTATAGAAATAGCTTTAATGCGTGGCCCCTTCCCCACCTGAAACGAATATAATTTGACTAGGGTCTTCTCCCTCAAAATCTTTGAAAATTGTTTTTATATAAAACAGTGCATTTTTATATACTTGAAAAGCCCCAATGACAAGTAACCACGTTGTTTTCAAGTGACTTTGTATATGGATTGATGTGTATTTGCTTTCAGCCTTCATAGTAGCTTTATTATAGTGACCCAACAGAAAGTAAATTGGTAATGACGTGCTATTGTGCTTACTAATGCTGATTACAACCATTTGTAAAAATTTTCTATTCTTAATTAGTGACCCATTCTGGATTGAAAGATAACTATTTACCTCATCAAATCAAATATGGCATTTCTAACCAGAAGCACAATTTAAAATTAAGTCATTAATTTAAAAAACAGGAAACACCCCAAATTTACAAAACTATGTATAATAAGTATATTGGTGGCAAGGCATCTATTCAAAGTTTGCTTATTATTGCCCAACAAAACATTTCTGTGTGATAACAGATGTGCTTGCTTATTTGTGCAATTTTTGTTGAGAATGTATGCACAAGCCAGAAATCAATAACCAGTGCAGAGCTATAGTTTTCCTAATCAGGAATGCATTTACCAGACAAAGGTCAGTATTTTGCAAAGGAACCTGTTAGACAGTCGCCAAGTATATGTGTACTGTTCTTCCGGGGCTTTTTCTAGCCATTTTTGTATGGAAAGCTTGGCAAAAGTCCATTGAACGTGTTCTTTATAAGTGTATTGCATTCTATGGTTAGTCACATTGTGCTCTTACAGAAGCATTTGTCAACCTAGGATTCTTGGATAGCCTTCAAGGGGTTCATACCAAATTTTGTGTATACATTAATTGGAAAGAGGGTCGATAGGTTTCTAAAATTATCAAAAGAATAATTATTAAGAAGGTAATTTTGCCCTTGCATAACTGATCCAGGCTGTTGTGTTTTTATAGTTTCTGCTCATTTGTTTTTGTTTTTGTTTTTAATGAACATTTGGTCTTACACATAGTAAAATGGTGCTTGATAAATAGTAGCTATAGAATGACAGTCATTTTCTTCTTCCAGGCTGTTATTCTGTCAACTGTTACTGCTCATAGCTTTCAGTCTACCTTTCTCTAGAGCTGTCCTTCATAAACTGTTGCACCGTTGCTTCAAATTTATCATTACAAAAGGCAATTACATACAGTCTTTCAAACTTACATTGAGAAGGACAGTTTTGAACAAGAATCCCTCTTAAGAACTAATGAGCATAACTATATCTTGTATATTTTATTTCACTTTGATTTAGCTGTTGCTGGTGTTGTAGAAAACTTTTCTTTGACTAAGCATAGTTGAGTTTCAGTTAGTTTAAGGTTTTACTTTCTGTGAAAAACTAACAAACAACATTTTTCAAGTATTCTCTCTTGAGGGGAGCTCAACTTGGTTTTTATATTATCCCTTTAGGATACAGATGAGTTTATTTTACCAACTGGAGCTAATAAAACCCGGGGCAGATTTGAACTGGCCTTCTTTACCATTGGAGGATGTTGTATGACAGGTGAGTATAATAATTTTTTTAAGTGTCCTCAATCCAAGTAGTCAGACTTAAAATCAAAACAATTAGAATATTACTTTCACATTTTTTAAAGAATCATTATTGGCATTCTTCATTCTTTCCTATTATGTAAAAATAAAAAAGAATCAGAAGTGCAGTTTTTTTTTTAATATAAAAATGTATTACTTGGATGAATTGATATTATGATTTACTAGGGGCTGCATTTGGGGCAATGAATGGTCTACGGCTAGGATTGAAAGAAACCCAGAACATGGCCTGGTCCAAACCAAGAAACGTACAGTAAGTCTCATGTAATCATCTGATACAGCGATGCTTGAATACTAATCTCTACTGTGCTGCCTTGAGTACAACTTTGAGATTACAAATGTTTTGAGTATTGATATTCTATTTCTTAATCAATTTTTTTCTCTTATTCAAAATTAAAAAGAACTAAGCAAATCAGGTTACTGAGTCTTAAGCTTTTAAAAGGAGTGATTTTTGAGTCAGTGTCCCTCAGTCAGCTGATGCTACCCTAGCCTAACTTCTCAGCTACACCTATTTTATTCAGTAGGCCTATATAACCTGCTTTTCAAGTTGTTGAATTATTAGTACATTATTTGGATTGTTCAGGGGCATGCAGAACCATTGGACATGGTAGTGAAATAAAAAGCATGTATGGAATGATTGCTAGGTCTGCATTGCTTGACTTGAATGTAGCTTCACTTTCCATTTCTGAAATGGAAAGCTGCTGAAAATTTAAATGAAATTTCTAGAACTTAGAGATTGTTCGAAAGGAATAAGCCAGTGTTCTAGGAAAATTGATTTGCCCAGAAGAGAAAGTACAATTATAATGGTCAGAAAGTGTATATAATGTGTATCTTCACCCTGCTTAAGAAATAAACATGACCAGTCCCTATTAATATTCCCTTAATATATTGTTTAATTTTGCATGTTTTTATATTTTGTATGAGTGGAATCACAGTATATATTCTTCAGTGGCTTTCTTGGTTGTGTTTTCGGACCCTTGAAAACTCCATCTTCATTAATTGTTTAGCCAGCAGATGGCAGCAGGTGTCTGCTAGAATTAGACCTTGAGAATCCTGAAGGCATCTCAGTTTTTTCATATTCCTATTACTGTGTGGATCATTGCCCTTGCTTTAGTAGCCCAGATCGTTGAATATTCTTATGTTTATATTTTTAATATTCATCTCTTATTCTAATAACTTTTTTTTACTTTTTGAATTACGGAGAATTTTGGAATATATACAAAAGTAGACAGAATAGTACAGCTAATTTAAGCTGTGACCCGTTACCTATCTTCAACAACCATCAACCAAGACCAGTTGTATCCCATCTCTTTCTTGCCTTACATATTGTTATGCAACAGATCCCCAATGTTATATCATTAAGTATCAATTTGAAAGTAGAAGATCTCCTAGAAAAGATAACCTTTGTTTCCTTTTTTTAAAGATTTTATTTATTTTTTGGAGAGAGAGGAAGGGAGGGAGGGAAACATCTGTTGCTTCTTGCCCACCTGCACACCCCTAACCAGGGTCCTGGCCCACAACCCAGGCATGTGCCCTGACTGGGACTCGAACCGCAACCTTTCAGTTTGTAGGACATCACCCAACCCACTGAGCCATACCACTCAGAGTGTCAACATTTGTTTCCTAAAACAGTTAATTTTTTATAGAGAGGTGAATTAGTTTGCATTTTTTTAAATCCTTATACACCATCTTTATATAATCATTCTGCTCTTCCTAGATAGAGAGACAGCATTTAAAAATGGAAATAAGAGAGGGTTTCAGGCTGGATAGATCTGTGTAGCTTCAAAGCCTTGTTTTGTTACATATTCATTTTGTGATCTTAGGTAAGCTTTCTATACTTTGTGCCTTTAAGAGTTGTAGAAAGATGATTAAAATGAGAAGTAAGTAAAAGCCCAGTAAATGGAGGTATGTTGCCTAACTGTATCCCAAAGAATTTTGCCAGTTTTCAGTGCTATCAGCAGTGCAGTAATGAAAATTCATAGTTTTAAAAGCTTGTGACAAATGTAAAAGCAATGTGTTAAACTTAAAATAGTAAATATTAGTATATAACTAATTAGAAACAATATATTGCTCCATAAACTACCTTTTAGAAGTAATACAGATTTTTATTATTAAGCATTAAATTAGTTCTTTGTTTGTTACTGTAACTCTAAAATTTCTAGCAGTAGTCAGCTGTCCAGACAGAATCATCGTTGTGATGGTATTACACTGCTGCAGGAGAAATGTCCTGTCTTCTTCCTCCAGTTGCTTCCATCACTGTTCTGGTCACTGCGCAAGGCAGAACTGTACTTCCTTGAAATTGTGCTAAGTATCCATTCTGGCTGCTTAGTTCTAGTGTGGGAGCAGACACAGAGTGTGCTTTCTCCGTGCATTCTGGTTTGGTTTTCCCTCTTTGAGTATTTTTAATTCTTTTTTATTGTCTATAGTATCCCATGCTTTGACTCTATTTAATATTCTAAATATATCCTTCCCTCACTCAAAAAACAACTTCTAAGCTAGTTTCTTCATTACAATGGCATTTTTTAAATACAGATCAGTTTCTGTTAACTTTATAAAATAAATTTCAGGCTGTCATTCAAAGCCTTTATGTGTTGGATATATATTTAATGATTTTATATACTTAATGGGAAATTTTCTTACTGGTTGCTCAGAAAGGTTGGAGGTTTTAACCTACCTTCATTTATATTTCTATAAAGTAAAAGTCATCCTTATTGAATTCTGAGGAGGTACTAAGTTTTTTAATGAAGAAAACTAAGACTTGAGTTTATAGTTTTTAAATATGTATCTTCAAATTACTAGAAAAATAATGATTCTAAATAGAGATTCTTTGTCTTTCTGCTCTTTTAGGATTTTGAACATGGTGACCAGGCAAGGGGCACTTTGGGCTAATACTCTAGGTTCTTTGGGTAAGTAGAGATTTCACTTGATAATAAATTATTGATGCAAAGAAAGAATATATACATATGTACAATTTGATCGATCAAAAATTTTAAAATCCTAGTATATTAAAAATTATCTTTAACCACTCTTGTCAGTAGTGTAGCTACTACTTAGAAAAGACCAGGAAATACATAAAGTAATCCCAGGTTCTAATGCCATCTTATATATCATTTTTGAATGTTTTAAATCTTCTAAAACACTAAATACTCTCCTGTCCAGGCAAGACACCAAATAAAGTCATGTTTTAACAAAATGAAATCCAAATAATTTAGGTCTGAGGCAAATGGTTTTGTATGTTAGGAAGGTTCAGGGTCCTATAGTTAAACATGATAGGTGAACCTAGCCCTCTAGCTCTGTTTTCTAAGGCTGGTTCAACATTCTATTTACCTGAGTGGATTTCCCAGACTTAATTGACACAGTTGCAGTAGGGGCTTTGTAGATGATGAAAACATTTGCAGTTCTACGTAAGAGGTAGTTTAATAATAGTCAGGGCCCAGTGCTTTCCTACTATATGATTGATTCTTTACTCATGACTTAAAATAAACTTACTTGTGGCACTTATGCCCTAACTTCCTTCCCAGGTGTTTTTTACAACTTAGTTGAAAGCCTGAAAAATCTCTCAAATATGGCAAATTAAGTAAGGAAAAATGTAGGCATCTTATTGAAAGATAGAAAAGACCTTTGTTGACACAGTAAGATCCTAGCCTTGTTATGAAATTTGAAAATAGTACATTTTCACACTATGAAGTCGGACTCGCATTTGGAGTCCTAGTAAATGGCAGCTTTCATATGTTGCCTGTTTCCCCATTACCCCTACCCCCCATACACAGTCACCGTCCTTTGCTCTGTTTGATTGTTTGTATATGTAGAATAATCACCCATTCTGTACTACCCATGACTTTATTTCTTAGTTTTAGCACTGAAGGTCCCACATGCCAGGAAACCCTCAGTCCTGGACAGATTGGGATGGCCAGTCACACTATGTGTTCCCTTTGTAATATGATCTATCACAATGTTCTGTTCAAGTTCGGTTTCAGTTAAATAAGTTGAAACAGGAAGAAGAGCCTTTATGAAATGATAAAAACTCACAACAGAGTATTTGTAAGGCTGATCTTTGTACAATGTTGAGGGGTCAGGTGTGGCAGTTTTGAGGGTAAGGAAAAGGATTAACGCATTGATTTACAACCAGTATGCCACAAGAATTTTTAAAACATTCAATACCTGACTATTTAGTCAGGAGCACTGACCTCTTTTCCCTTAGATTGTCAAATTTAAAAATGACAGCCAACACAACAGTAGCTGTCTGGTGTGAATGAATCAAAATTAGACTTTTTTTTTTTTTTTTTTGGTCACATCAGTAAAAAGTGTATTGTTTGGTGTGCTGCAGAATTTTAGTCATTTATGTGTCCTTTGAGATGAAAAAGGTTGAAAACCGCTGGATAAATGCATTCATGGATAATAGAAGTCTTTACAGGCATGGGCAGGGGAAGATCTTATTAAAACTAAATAGTGATAGTTTCATAATTTTTACACATGCAGGAACCAAACTTCACCTTTCTTTTTTTAAGTTATATTTTTATTACAATAGAAATACATGTCTTTTTGTTTCTAAATCCAAAGTATAGCTATTATAAGTAAAATACAAGTGAAAATTAAAGATATTCTTCCCGGAACTCCCCAGTGGTACTTTTCCATAAATAACTACTATTAATATTTCTTCTGAATCTTTCCAAACATCATCTTTGCTTATTCAGAGTCATAATTATGTGCCTGCTTTACATATTAGTGAATATAACTCATTCTCCTTTTTGATTTAAGTGAGTATAGTAATTCCATTTTGATCACCTTTATATATACCTTTGAATACTTATAGAATGATGTCTGTAGGATACATTTATCTAATATAATTTCCATACTGATTTGCAATCATTTTCTTATTACTGCTGATCAGTTCCATTTCCCCTATAGCTTTGCTGTATAGTGCGTTTGGTGTCATCATTGAGAAAACACGAGGTGCAGAAGATGACCTCAATACAGTAGCAGCTGGAACCATGACGGGCATGTTGTATAAATGTACAGGTAAGAAATAGTGAATAGAGAGCTGTCTCTTAGTACACATAGATCATACTTCATAGTTTTCAAAGAAAAATGATACTTCCCTGCCCACTCCCCCAGTATAATCCCATGTTCTCAGAAACCTGGTGATTGTTTTGGGTTTTTGTTTGTTTGTTTTTTTAGTTTTGGTAAAATACACATAACATAAAATTGACCATCTAAACCATATTTTAAGTATACAGTTCAGTAATGTTATATTTACATTGTTGTACAGCCATCCTCCAGAACTTTTCTTAATTTTGCAAAACTGAAACTACTCATTAAACAACTCTCCTCTTCTCCCTTCAGCCCCTGGGAACCACCATTTTGCTTTGTATGTGAAATTGACTACTTTAGGTACCTCGTGTAAGTGGAATCATGCAGTATTTATCCCTTTGTGGCTGGCTTATTTCATTTAGTATAATGTCCTCAAAGTTCATCCATGTTGTAGCATGTGTTACGATTCTTTCTAAGGCCAAATAATACTCTGTTGTACATATATGCCATATTTTGTTTATCCATTCATCTCTCAGTGGACACTTGGATTGCTTCCACCTTTGGCTACCTTGAATAATACAGTAATGAATGAACATTGATAAACTAAATACCATTCAATTTTGAAAAAATAATCAGAGCTCCAGGAGTTGAACCAGAATGGTCTGGGTGAAGATCAAATATGAAGTTTGCCTCTAACATGGAAAAATAATTAACATTCACTGAATTATAATTATACTCTCAGTAATAAATACTTGTTTAATTTAAAACTGTGAAGTGATAATCACACCCCAATTTTATAGATAAGCACACTATTAGATGGCCTTTTTCAAAATGTCATATAAGCAGTGACAGCCCCAAATTTTTCATCACATTTTAGTTTTATATAGTTTAATTAAACTGCATAAATCCTATACTCCTGCCTCTGAAAATCACTTTTATTGGCTTGATTGCTTTCTTGTATACTAGACACCTGATTAACTGTGCAATTCTTTTTTTTTTTTTTTTTAAGGAATTCCTCTATCATATATATTAGATAGCATTTTTGTTTAATTTTACTAGGAACAAATAAAAAAGAAGTCTCACATGATTATAAAGTCCAAGTTTTCCTAACATATCTTAGAGTAAGGGGCTTTTTTATATTGAAAGTAAATTGCATTTGGAATTTTGTTCCTAAGAGCTCATAAAACTTCTTGCAACATGTATGGATGTGTTTACACACAAACAGAGCTTCCAGGTAGAATATGTCCATGAAATTTTGTCTTTGCATCAAAAAATCTTACTAAAAAACCTAAAAATATTTTTCACGTTGAAAATCTGTAGAATCAGACAAAAGAATTTTAAATTTTCACTGGCAGCACAAAGGTGACACTCAGACAACAAGGGTTCAGTTGGCCCAAACTATGTTTGTTATTTTTTTTTTAAGATTTTATTTATTTAATTTTTAGATACATCAGTGTGAGAGAGAAACATCAATAGGCTACCTCTTGCTTACCCCTTACTGGGGACCTAACCAGGAATCAAACTGATGACCTTTCGCTCCATGGGGCAACACTCAACCAACTGAGCTATGCTGGTCGGAGAGGCCTAAACAGTGTTTTAAATGACCGATTAATTTTTAAAAAACACCAAATTTCACAAAAATCTGGAATTCCAGCTTCTTTTGAATAAGCGGAAAACACTAAGCTCCATTGTATGGTGTCAAATGACTGGAGCAGAATGGGGAGCTGCTTCTGCCACAGTGGATGGGCACTGGAGCTCCAGCTGGGTCCCCACCATTCCCTGCTTCCTTACTCAGAGTAAGCCATTGTTAGGAGCAGTTCTGAGTATGAGAATGCAAATTATCAACTGAATTAAGACAGTATGCATATTTAAAAGATAGGAAAGACTAAATACTGATATTATCAAAAGAAATGGGAGCCTTGCTTTCTGTGGCAAGGACTTCCTTGCAGTAATAACTTGGGTTGCCATCAACATAAATTATGTAAGAGAAAGCCCTTGTCTCAGAAGAGAAAAAGCAAAAAAGATATCCATTAACCCTGCCAGGTGATAAGCTGATTGCAGTTTCCTTTGAAGTTGGATCATACAGGAAGTAAATAATCTGTTGAACCACAATCCAGCATTGCTTCACAGTTCCTGGCTCAGAACATCAAAGTTACTCTAACAAAGACAAACTGGAGTCTTCTCTTGATTTGTGGTTTAGAATAAACTTAAGAAGACAGCACAGAATTACGAATTTTGTTTGACATGAATACAAATATAACTTCAACTTTCAGATTTGGAAAAGAGTTTGAGCACTTAGTCTAGAATCACCATAAACTGTCAAGGAAAGAATTCTACATTTAGACGTGGCTGGTGTGGTTCAGTGGATTGAGCACCAGCCTGCGAACCGAAAGATCGTCAGTTTATTGCCAGTTTAATTTCCTACCTGGGCACGTGCCTGGGTTGCAGGCCAGGTGCCCTAGCCCCAATTGTGAGTGTGTGAGAGGCAACCAACTGATGTTTCTCTCATACATCGATGTTTTTCTCCCTGTCTTCCTCCCTTCCTCCCCCTCTCTCTGAAAAGAAATAAAATCTTTTAAGGATTGTATATTTAAGGAATGGCAAATTCCTACTGACCTAAAAGATTTCCAATCCCCAGTGTACTCTTTAAAAATAGAAGTTTTTAAAAAGGAGTTTAGAATGAAAGCACTATGATTCAATGCAGGTGCTTTAGTACAAAAGCAGTAGTTTTGCAGTTGCTTCGTATTAGTAGAAAGAGAAATTATGAGGGAAAATACCACATGAGAAAATGCGTTATCAGACCAAAAAGAGGCTAAATTTTTTTTAAGTCATAGTTCTGATAATATGATTTTAGTTTAGGCCTAATGCTTACTTAATAAACTATGTATGTATACTCCAGAAGGCATAAGATATCATTATTAGATTTCCTATGGCATATGAAAGTCTGTTTAATAATAACCAGTATTCTACCAGAACAAGAACAGCTATGGTTTTGCTACCATCCGTAAGTTTAGGAATGTTCAGGAGGCCTGGTCACTTACCCTCAAAAAACAAGGCCTCAAACCAAGATGTGGGCTCCTCTTCCCACTCACAAAAAATCCCTGGTATGTTAATCTGTTCCTTCCATAAGAAAGTCATCTTATAAAACCAAACTAAGTAAAAGTAAAAAGATATATAAATCCAAGTTACCAAATTAAGCAATTCTCATCTGTGTTATTGTTAATAGGTAATATTTATCCATGAATGCCAGGCTTTCAAAATTAAATTCTGTATATAAAAAGGAGCCTCTTGATGACTTCTTTATTTTTATTACTGGCATGAACATTCTCTCAGTAAATGAAAATGCATGTAACATATAAAATAGGCAAACAGCTGACATAATATATAAAACATTTCAACAAGTCACTTAAACCAACAACCTACTAAAAAAATGGAGTAAGGATATGACAAAACACTTCAGGAAAAAATCCAAAGGACTGCTAAATGGTCGAAGTTTGCAGTCTCACAAGCAACCAGGGGAAAGCAAAATAAAACATGAAGATAACATTTCACCAACTAGCTTAAATAAGATGATGGTAGATGACATTTAATATTGGCAAAAGATAAGCAGGTGCTTTGAAGAACAATTTGGCATCTGTTATTAATATTTGAAATATGTAGATTCTTTGCTCAAGTTATCTAACATTCAGCAGTTTATCCTACAGCAAACTAAGGCATACATGCAAAACTCTGTACCAAGGCATTTGAGACTGGCTTCAAAGAGGTGATATTTGAACAAACACCAACAAATGAGGGAGTATGTGATGTGGATGTCTGGAGGGAGTGACTTAGGTAACGGCAACAGCACAGTCAAAGGTCCTGAAGTGGAAGTTCGAAGGCATCCGGAAGAGTAGTAGAATCATCTGGAGCCAAAAAAGTTGCAAGGAACTAAATCATGGTGAAGATAGAACTTCATAGGCCACAGTAAATTATTTGGCTTAACTGGGCATCAGTTAATCTTACCTTCTAGGTACTACCATTTCTATTTATTTATAAGCCTTAAATTGTGTACTGTAACTTCCAAAGATTAAACTTTCATCCTCCTCCTGAGTACAAAGTTTATACCAGCAGATGTTCACTCAGGGTCAATAAACCCTCTAAACCTTCCATAAGATTCTCAAAGAGGGTCAGGGGCACTCCCTGCCACCCACAGATAAAGAACCACCAAAAAAACTAAGGATCTGGTGAAAAATAGTACTAAAAGGACACAGTAATGTGGGGAGTCAAAAACAACTGATCCAGTACTTTAGTGTGTTCAGGCTTGCAAGGAAGAAATGGAAGGGACTGTGGTGAGGGAAGCACAGCAAAGTTAGCCACGGTGCTGTTCAAAGACACACATTGCTTCCACTCTAACAAAGCAAAGAGAAAAAACAAGGAAGCAGGAAAACAGCCTTCTAGTGATGCAGTCACTTTGTGATTTCTTTTTGTTACATTCTCTCATTTATTTCATCCATTGTGAAGTTTACCACCTATCACATGAGGTGAGGTGCTTATCACAAAACCCGAACTTCTCTAACAGTATTTTTCATTGATCATTTTGACTTTTAGCTTCTACCTCAATTCCATCTTCCTACTCACTATTTCTGGCTTAATCTTCCTCAAGGATGGTTCTAATTCTAATATTCCCTGTCCAAAAACATTTGAAGATGACACATTGCTTTTCATTGCCTTTCAACCTAAATATAAAATTCTCACCCTAGTCTTCCATGCTCTGATAGTAACCTGTCTTCCTAAACTTTTCTCCCATACCCTATATATATCATATGACCAAACAGATAAATTTGAAATCTAGTCCATCCTTATGGCCCAGCTCAACTGTTACTACCCCTTTCAAGATATTTCCTTGATTGCTCTTTTCTCTCTATATAATGAAAAAGACAGTAAGCTTTGGAGTCAGACTAGGTTTGACTAGCACTAAATCACTAAACATGTGTGAACAAGACAGCAACTTGTCCGAAATTAAGTTTCTTTGTTTATACAACAAAAGTGACCTCTCTTCCCTTCATGAACTTGTAAATGAGGTAACCTATATACAAAGTAAGTGACTTCCTTTCTGCTGTAAGCACATTTTATACAATTTAAGATTTAACAGTTTTCATAGTAGGAAGTCAAAAAGTAATCTCTAAGACTGAAAAATCTAGAAGTAGCAAGATAATCATGTTCTTTAGAATCACAAAGGTAAAGAACAAAGAATTAAGGAACTGGGAATTAGGGTGAGGATGGGGAGCACACCAGACTGTTGTGCATCACAAAAATCTCTTGGTGCTATCTTGACTTTTAAACTTACTTCTCGGACTACTTTGATAAAAGTAAAAAAGTGAGTAAAGATGTATCAACATAATAAAAATTAGGCATTAGATTGGAGGAGATGGGGAAACACTAAGAGTTTCGATTTTGCAAGAAAAAGGTTCTCTGGAGATGAATGATAATGATAACACAGCATTGCTAATGTACTTAATGCTACTGATCTGCACACTTAAAACGGTAAATAATCATGTTATGTGTATTTTACCATAATTTCTAAAAATAATAAATTTAACAAATATTTAGGTTAGTCTCCAAAAAATGTGAATGGTGTTTAGTAGCCATCTCAGTGTGTAGATAAGGGTGTTCCTCTTAAGCAGCGGCAACCTGTTCCTGTTTGCCAGATGCCTGTCCCCTGAGTTTTACATTTTTTAAAGTTAAATTTTTAAATCTTATGTAAGTGCTACATAATAGCCTCTGGTCCCTTAAAGCCTGAAAATACTTATTTTCTGGACATTTTAAGAAAGTTTTGCCAATTCCTGCTCTAAAGTAATAGTCAAATCAGTGTGTAAGCTCTGCAACTAACTCATTCTCTGCCTCACAAAAGATATTTAAATAATTTGGACATTTCCCCATGTTTAAGAGGTAATATTTGCCCTTTCTAGAAGAGTTGTGTAAGGATTCAAAAGATAGAAAGTAAAACTGTGAAACACAGGTCTAGTGTTTGTTGTGCTTTGTAGAGACTGACCTATATGGCCTTATTTGATGATTCTGTGTTCAAAGCAAGTGGATTTGTTAATTAACTTCCTGTACTTAGTTGGGCAGAAGTTCTTTAATTACAGAAAGCCTAAAGCCAAGGTCCTCAAACATTTAACAGATAAGCAGTTGAACAACTCTGAAATTAGTGGTAAGAATGAAAACTAAAACATGGTTGGTATGTGATAAAAGGCTACCTTTGAGTCAGGATTAACTGTACTCAGTAAATACAACACTGCCTATTTTTGGTGTCTTCTTTCTGGAAATAACTTTTTTCTAGTCTTCAAAGAAGTAACTTGATCGATTTGAACTATGTATGTTTCATTTTGGTCAGAAACTATCTGAAAGCCTTATAGTTGCCAGTTTCCTTATGTTACCCTAATTCCTATGCCCAGGAAGCTTATTTGATTGCTGAAAAATAGTGTGAAAATCCTTCCAAAAGGGCCAACTGGCAGGAATAGTTTTACTATTTCCAAACCAGTAGGCAGACCTCAGAGTGCAGTGGTTTTTAATTTACTAAAAGTCCAGGGGAGTGAGTCTAACTAAATGTTTGGTCCCAGGAAATAGTATCTGCAACTTGTGCTTTCAAGTACATGCCTCCCATCATTTTTCTACTAATAAACAGCAGTGAGGCCATGTTGACTTTTGTTTTGGGTTGATTCAGAATGGATTAGAATATTACATTTTTATAACTTGTTTATTACACTCAAAGTTTAGGTCTACTAACTGAGCCATAGTGATGTCCTTGCAGATAGCTTTTATTCTGCACTTTGTAGTTTTTTCCATTTTAAGAATTGGGGCTAATTATAGTTCATTTTCAGCCTATACAACTTTTTATTGACTTAACTGGTCAAAAATAGAAGGTAAATCCTTACTAAACTGAGGAGATTGTTTTAAATTGTTTCAGCCACATTGAATACAGTTGCAAATTCAACTGTAAGGTCTAACTATATAGCATGGTATAGAGATCTGGACTCCAAGGAGATACCTATTTAAATGTTTTTGATGTTTCTCTCTCTCTCTCTCTCTCTCACACACACACACACACACACACACACACACACACACACACACATACACGAGAGACACTTATTTGGAGATGATGTAAGCAATTTCTGTTTGGGTCTGTTTAAGAGAGATAAGGGCATTTCATAGTGGAAATAAGCAAGTCAGCTATCAGAGCTCTTCAGACTACAGAGGCTCTTGGAAGGAGTAGCTCTTTCATCTGTCAGATGAAGTTATCCAGCAGGATGTCACTGCAGAAATGGTTGGTTTGAAGTGAACTGGGCAACATCACTGCATTTCACAGAATTTACTGTCTCATACCTCTAGTAAGGTAATCACTGGACCACAGCTCCATTCCCTTTGCTTTCCTAACACAACCTAAAACAGATACTCTATTGGTACAGTATAGGCCACCTGAAGTTTATGGTCCCTACCTGTTTGTAAAACTGTAAGAGAACATCAAGTACTTCTTAAAAGTTTGAATACCCCCATTCATCTTAGATTTGAGGACTATCTTCAGTTAATTGGTTGCAACAGTTTTGTTTCTGCATTTCAAACAAAACATTTATTGCTAATCCTTAAATGTTTTTCAGCTAGTGTGATGATGCCAAGAGCTTCATGGCTCAGTACTTGTAATAGTCTGACACATCTGAGTGCGAAGGGGGGATGGGAGTTGGTGCTTCATCAGCACCTAACTCAAAACTTCGTTATAGTCCTCTTATCACCACTACTGGAGTCCTCAAAGTTAATATTTTGAGGACCTGTACAGTCCAAAGATTGTTAATAGTGTTTCCAAAGAGGGTATGGCCTTCTTTATATATAGCCTTAAATCAATTGATAGTGCCAGTGAAGTCTAAGACTAGCAGGAAATTATTGATCTGGGTGGGACTTCAATAGTAAGAAGCGTAAGATCTTTTCTAAAAGTATTGTAAGAACAAGTCAGATTGAAAAAAAGTTAAACTGTTTTTTAAAACTTTGACTGTCCTGTTTGGGACAGAGTACTTATAAACATAAATGGTTATGTCTCAATTTTATGATCCTCTTATTTTTAATCCACTGGTATTAGGACACTGTGCAATACAAATCTTATTTTTCTCTCTCTCTTAGGTGGTCTTCGAGGGGTAGCACGAGGTGGTCTAACAGGACTAACACTTACTAGCCTCTATGCACTATATAATAATTGGGAGCATATGAAAGGCTCCTTGCTTCAACAGTCACTCTGAAGATTTGCCAACCTGCAAGTAGAAGACACTTGAGTAGTTAACCAGATCAGTTTATGAGTCAGTATAGAGTTCTCTTATACCTACAATTAGGTTGAAAAATTGTGGATATACTGATTTGCTGTGATGAAGACTGTTGACCAGACTGGCTCTCCTTCCAACCACTTGAGTTGAAGCCAAAACCCTTTGGTGGCTGAGTAATACGGTTCTCTTTGAAGATCTTGCTCCTGTTCTTTCCTAGCCACTGAACAGGACACCACTTACTCCCATCATTCAGTTCATTCTTATCAATACCGTATTACCACGTTTGTTCATTAAAAGATCAAAAAATGTAATGTTGCCCGGCATTCCCAATAAAGGGTGAAAAAAGAACCAAAGTCCACTCCAATGTAAACATAGTGGATGTCTCTATTTAAAAGCATCTTTCTGGGTTTAAAGTGAAATTTACTCCTGGCATTTCTGCCCCAAGTAGGCTAAAACATGTTTTCACATTTGTGTATAAATGAAGGGTTACTGGTGGCATTAACAACTAGGTTAAGATTTTTCTCTAATATAGAGTTGACACTAAATAGCCTCAGGTAGTTCAGATTAAAAATTATACCACTAGAGTAATTGCTAGAACAATGTGTCCAGCAATCATGCTTAAGTTTGTATGCATTAACCCCCTCACTGGGGATAATTAGAAAAAGATGAAAAAGACAAGAGCTTTCAAGTTTTTAAGGAAGCCTTGGGAAAGCTAAAGGAAGTAAGGGCAAGTTGTTTTTTCATCTATGAAAAAAGTAAAGTTGCACTGCAGGTTATGCATTAAATAATAAATACTAAACAACTGGTGGTTATGATTAGAAAAAATAAAAGTAGGGCCTTTTTGGATGCATCTAGTAAGGGATTTGGCAGAAAAGCACTGAACTTTCGAAGATTAAAAGTAGATACGAAGAATTTGCAGGAAGAAACTGGAAATGGAAGTTAGTAACGATATACCTGTTCTTGCTAATTTAAGATTCATAAAACTCATTGGTATTTTATTGAATATAACTTTGAGTTGTTTACCAGCTATACTACTAACCAAAGATTCACATTTACATAACATGATAGAATATTTTGTTACAAGGTACTTTTACAAATACACACAACTGTGGCTGTTAATGCTTTTAATGGGGAAGTACAAAATGCATCAATGCAAAAGATTTGTTTTACATACTCATTAGCATAGCAAATAATGTAAATCTAGGAATACACACTGTTAAACCTCAAAAACTAGTTTCCTGCAACCTAAGGTAATGGAAAAGCTCCTTAATTTTTAACCTACCACCTTTATTGCAGTTCTAAAGGGTGCTGGGGGTTAGGGGGACTTAGAATATAGAGGGCTTTTTTCAGCAGTGGTTCAAGAATTCCAGTGAAGCTGTATGGCAAATGACACTCAGACTGAAATTTCCCCAAAAGGGCTTTCTAGATGCCAACATTACAAACTTTAAAAGAATTTGCAATACCGTATACCCAAGGCAAGTTGAGTTGCTTAACCATTTAAAGGCCTAGGGGAAAGCAGTTCTATCAGAGAATTTAAAAATATTATAAAAAAAACTATAAATACCACTTCTTTCCTACAGAGAAACTTTTTAAAGTATGTAAATGACTTTAAGGATCTTGAGAAAATACCAGTTTTTCAAAAAAGCTTCAATAAACACCCCAAGGCACAAGTGTTCAAAATGGCCATTCTCTAAAATGTCACTGCATTATACTTTTAGAGGTAAAGGTACACTATGCTTGCAGTAAAAGGGCATTTAGTTTAACCCCAGTTAAAAGCACCAGGTGGGTGTCAAGATCAACTTTAATTTTACACAGGGTGCACCATTAACCAACCCTTAGGATAATGAATAGTTCAATTACTACATTTCTAACATGTCTTATCTTTTGCTCTTTCATTAGTCTGCATGGAGCTCTTTTGCCTGCATTTCTTCAGAATATTTTCAGAGCTTAGGACTACCCAGGATATCATCTTGAAGCAATTTAGAGCCATTCTAAAAGAGCTCACTAGATAATAACATTCAGAGAAGGAAATAAAGACAATTTATAGTAGCTAAATTTCTTCCAAAAGAAAATAATGTAGAATCTGACATGTGGGCAAAATGTTTTCTAATTAATGTCAAAAATTGCAAAGATGTTGATAACACGGTTTGGTTTAAAAACACTATATTCTCAAGGTTAATTATGTGAAATATACTATATATTAATTAAGCAGAAGAAATCATTTCCACCACTACGGGAAGAAAACCCACAGCAAAGGAAGCATCTAAAAAGGGTAATCAAAAGGTTAAAGAAGTTCACAAGCTTTAATCAACACCTTGATAATACAATTATTTAATTTTTAAAACCACAATGTTTTTAATCTAGTAACAACTCAACCTAAAGGGCCATGGAGGCTTATGAAAGAAATATCCACCAAGATGCTGCATTTCTAGTGAAAGGGTGAATGATTACTTTGTAAGAAGGAACTGAATCACCTCAGCCATCAACAAACAGCCTTTTTCTTTTACACAATAACTCATAATTTGATGACTTATTTTTCTTCATTAGTTCAAAATTAGGCAGGAAAGGAACTAAGCTGGTCACACCCAGAAACAATGATTTGGCAAGCTGCAGTCACTTGGCTCATGAAGTGTGATAATTTGCTGCAAAGTTGCTTGACTCTAGTACTCCATTTCTTCACATCTGTAAAGAAAAGCCCACAGATAAAAAGTCACTTGACTGTAGGATAGAAACATTTCTCCCCGCCTTAAAGTGCTGGCTCATTGATTTCTCAGTAAGGTATTAGAATCCATACAGGCTCTAAAAATACCCCCAACACAATTAACTATATCTTGCAAGGTCACATTCAGGTTATGTCCTAGTTGTTTCATTAAGCAAGTTCAGGTGAAATACATGAAATTTTATGATTTCTCCCGAGCTTACTTGCCTAATGTTCATTAATATGCTTATGGCTCAATGGGCAAAGTATGAATTTATTTATGACAACATTTATAAGCAGTCAAATCTAATATTTACACTAGTGGCATGCACCCACCTGCAGAGGAGTTCGATACAACCACTTTTCTTTATCAACTTTAAGCTGCATACAGGCAAAGAGATCACAAACTGCTGGAAGGCCGTAACAGTCTGGGGGGAAGTTATGTTCCTCCTGTTGGGGTGAATTAACTAATACTTCCTGCAAGAAGACAAAAAGGGTGGGTTTCTACAAATCTTCCCAATAATATAGTATCTATAACGAATGTAAATGGTGAGCATTCTCTCTAATAAAAGCAGAGGTGACAATTGCTTCCTCTGCTCCTAATTCTTTTCCATAAATAGCAATAAAATATACTGGGGTTTTAGTGCCCCCTGCCCTGGCCCCACAGAATGGGGATTGGGAACTGAGAAAATGCACAAAAACTTCAGTCTAAATAATCATAAATTCTCCATTCTGTTGTTAACATGGCACCAATTAAGCCAAATACAATATTTAACATGTTTACGGATATGGGCCATTTACAAGATTTGATATTAAGAAAGTAAAAACCTATTAATTACATTTCAAATGGTGCTATTTTGATGTCTGTGCTCACCTTGGCCTTCTTTCGAAGTAGCCACTTATCCTCTCCTGAGTTTCCTGCCTTCTTTGCTGGCAAGACCCAGTCTGCTGTGTTAAAGGGGCACCAGGAAGAGGCCACAGGGCTGGTAAGCTTTTGTTTGCCAGCTTGGTCCTCAGTGGTAGGCACTTCCTTGGGATGTCCTTCTTTGCAAGAGGGTGTGATAAGCCACTCTGACAAGGGACTGTTCCTTATCACTTTGAAGGAATCAGTAATTCTAGAAGGAGCCGTTGCCTTTGCTGTCTTTGCTTGTTCTGTTGCTTCTTTTCCGGAAGGACACAGCCACATATTTAGGGAATCTGTATGTTTCTCAGATTCAGATTTTGGTTCCACAGGCATACCATTTTTATCCTTTCCTTCTTTCTCCAGCAGCCATTTACAGAGAGCTTCCCTCTCACAATTTTCATCACACACACACTCTGCAAAGCTTGTACAGGGCTCATTGGCTTTGCAGACGTCCTCTACTTTATATGGGTCCTGATGGTTCTGGACAAGCCAATCTTCAATAATCATGCTGGGAGTGGGCAAGGGTTTCTTGGCCTCCATGTGATCATTCAAGCACTTCAGATTGCCCAGGTTTTCAATCTCCACACCTTTGGGTAAGTTGCCCTGACAACTGGTACAGGAATCAGGCTTGACAAGCCAATCATTCACACTATAGGACTCCTGGAACACCTGGAACAAGAGTTTAAACTTCTCACTGGTTTCACAGCTGCCATTCCAAGGCTTCTCCAGCTTTTGGGACTCCTGGGGAGTCACCAGCCAATCAGAAAGATCCATCTCATCTTGATCAAGAAGCTCTAGGTTCTCAACCTTTTCAGTATCAATGGAGTAAGAACTGGTGGTAGAATCACTGCTACCCTTTTGATAACTTGGTTTTTCAGGAACTTCTTGATGCTGACTCTTGTGAAGCCAGTTTTCCAAGCCCTTTAGGTTGCCCCAGACATTATTAAGGAAACTGCAGGCTCTGGCAGAAGTCTACACAAAAAGTACACAATATTAGTTCACCAGGACTTTGTGACTGCTTTGGAATTCAATGACAAAAGAGTTCTATTTGCCCGCTTACTGCTCTGCCCAATGTTTCTAAATTTAAGTATACAAAGCCAAGAGACAAGGTATTTCTCTGTTGCAATAATACATATTTAAGTACATAAATAAAATTTTCTGCAATTTAAAAAACTGAAAAGTAGCAAAGCATTTGTAGCAACAGAAAAGAGAAGTTAGTTCTAACCTAATATGCATTTATGAATAAAGAAGACAAAAACAAGCAGAAGGTACTAGGCAAATTATTAAAAAGGCTAATAAACATTATTAAGAACACTCAATTTCCTTAATAAAGAAATTCAAAACAAAATTGTTACTTTTTGTCAAATTCTGGCAGGGGGAGGGGAAGCTTACAGATGGGTACCACTATTAGAGAATTTTCTGTGGAGCATGTATACTCAGTACTCTGCTGGTGGGAATAGAAATTGGTATCAATTTCCAGGAAAGCCAAGATGGCAATATGTATGTAAAACTGTAATCTACTAATGCAATTTCTAGGAGTTTACTCCTAAGGAACTAATAAAGAATATACAGAAATATTAGTTGGGAGATGTTGAGAGGAAATTTGTTTATATCCAGAAAAATGGGAGAACAGGTTATAATCAATGATGAAACATTATATGCTATTAAGGATTTTATGGAAGAAAGTAAATGACTGAGGAGTATATTCATGCTCTATTAGTGAAAAAAATCTAACCAAAACAGGATGATTTTTTTAAAGTATATGTATGGATAGAAAAATGAAGTACCTAAATAAAAACGTTAAGAGTGGTTGTCTCTCCGAATGCTGAGATTATGGGTTTTTACTTCTTTGTACAGTTGTTTTCTAAATTCTATCCATGATGAAGAGGTGTCATTATTGTTGTTAAAAGTTATTAAAAATACATTATTTCCATACCAGAACTAAAAACTAAATAAAAACATACTGTCTGTTAGAAACTAACCCCATCTACTACTACATCTACCTCAAACAATAAAGCAGCAACACACCTGATTATTCTCCAAGGTATGCTTTTGAGTGAGCCAGTCCTGCAGATTGGTGCTGGGTGTGTAACAAGTCTGATGACCATTGGCAGGTTTGCTTCCAAGAAGCCATTCGCTGAGAGGGATGGCTGTGGTGCTAGATGCTGACTTCTGCTAAAGACATAATACTTTGCTGCTTAACAGGGTAATGTCAAGTGCAGCATAAAGTTCACTGCAAAAGCAGGAGACCCAAGCTTTCTAATGTTAGCTTGGCACTGACCCTTCTTCACAAATTATATGACTTCCCTAAGCTTACATTTTCACAATTATAAAACAGTGTATAGCTGAGCTCTGGGGTTCTTCTCAACTCTAAATGTCTAGAAACCAATATTCCAGTTGCCTTTAGAAGTAAATTATCCCTATGAATTACAAAGGAAAGGATCCCCAAGGGAGCACCAATACAGAGAGCTGATGACAATTTCTTATGAACCAAATGGTAATAGTAACTTTCTCTTACTTAACATCTAAAACCTCCAAATTTCTGTCTGACATTCAGTCTCAAGGAAAGCATTGAGTTGTGTAACTCATTACCAATGGTACCTTTTCACAAATACATGGCAGCAGGAAAAATAAGTGATTTAGTCAAAACCCAAAAGAAATATTAGCCAAGTAATAACGCAGTTATCAGAAAAAAAGTACATTGTACCTGCTCTGGCAACGGCACATAGCCTCTTTTCTCCATGAAGGGTCCAATATTTGATGAACTAGCATGAGCCATCAAGTGCTCAGGAATTTGCTATAAAATAAAAGCAAAATAATTGTTTATTAATGTTATACTTTCATACCAAAAAAGTGAAATTGTAATTCCTAAATTTTGAAAGTATTAAGCAAAGCATTACCATTTCTATAGAATACATATTCTTTATACTACATTCAATGACCTACCTACAAAGTAGTTTTCGAATCTGAGAATTTTCTATCTACTACATAACTATCATCATACAAGAAATTTCACCAGAATTGGTAGCATTACTACTTTTAACAAGACCCAAATAAGACTAAGTTTGGTGTTCTAGATGAAAGATGATTCAAGCCATAAATTTTTTAAGAAATATGTCAAAGGTGTATAAAGAGTTACAAGATGAATTCTTGAAATTATCCATGAATCAATACCACATTCCAAGCACTACCAGCAACAATGCTCCACTGACTTAATCAGAACATGAAATTTCTGAAGTTCATCAAATTCTCTACAACACCACTAATTCATAGTAAAAATGGAGTGTTTTTAAGACAACCTGTCTTAAAAACAGACTGCCACAGACCTGAGAAGCACACTGTATGAACCATCTGATATCAACATTACTCACAATGGTCTTGAGAGACCCAAAAGTTGTGATGGCCTGGCGCAGAGCAGTTGTGTCTGCTTCAAAAAGCAGGATGGTCGAATCTTCAGGTTTGAGGGTCAAACTGCCCAATCTGGAGAAAAAAAGAAATAAAACTTGGCTATTTTTAAGGAATATCTATTTCAACTTCATCCAAAATGAAAGCCAAATTGCAAACTATCTGAAATGACTGTACTTTGCTAAGACTCTCAACCAAAGGTGGATTATTTAACCACGCACCAAATACAGTATTAAAAATATAAAGCAAGATGATCTTATCACAGGAACAGAAAAGTCAAATTAAATCCAACCCATGCAATGAGTCACAAAACTGACTTTTTAATACACCAAAGTCAAAGCCAAAAATCAAAACAAAAATAGTCTGTACCTCTCCAGGCACACAGAGACTTGATTGGCTAGATCTTTGTTTTGGGTGCGTTCCAGCTGACGAATAAGACAATTGAACTGGCCCAGTAACTGTAAGAAAAAGAAAACCATCTAGCCACAATGATACTAAAAGCACCAAGTGTATCCAAGTTAACAAATAGCACTTGAGATTTCACTTTCGTCTGATCTATATTAAGGCTACAAAGCAGGAAAGACATCCTCTAGGAACCAGAAACCATACTCAAACCAACTATACCCTTGCAGCCACCTTACCCAGTAGAGCTGTTGGGCCTGCTGCTGAAGTGTCTCCTCTTTAAGCTGATAGATGAGATCTACCTGTTCATACAACCACACCTCACGGCTTCGAAGACATTCCAAGTGACGGCTTATGCAGCTGTGAATCTGAGCTTTGATCTAGGAAATGCATACATATTAGCTTCACTAGCTTATAAGCCCAAAGAATGTATTTCCCACAGAGCAGTGAAGTTCTTAAACTTTTGAGAATCACAAATCTTTTTGGCTATCCAGTGACATCTATAGAAAATCTCCAAAAAAATTCATATACTCAAAATTGTGCCTATAATTTCTGGGTTTAGTATCCCAAAAACCCAAAGACCCAGTTTAAGAATTCCTGCCATACAGGCATACCCTACACTCTAAAATCGTCCTACCATACTTCTCCTCCTAAGAGGATCAGGTTTACTAGGGTGTCCTAAAAGAGATCAAGAGAAAATAAAAGAATATGTCAGGTAATGCCGATCCCCTCAGTTTTTTACTTTTTCTCACACTAAAAATGAGCAATCTACTTATAATAGGTCAACTTAATAAAGAGATATGCCACTGCATGTCAACAACCAGAGACCACTTAGAGTAGAGAGTTTAAGTAAAACTATAAACTAAATGTTTCTGGAAGCATAAGTAGTGATTCAAAAAGAAATGTAAAAACCCTGAGGGGAAAAAAACAGCTAAAAATTATCCATGAGCATCTACATTTTAAAAAACCTTTTAAAACATTTTTCTGTATAATAAAGTTGTATTTCAAAGTCACATAATACTACTTGGTCTGTCCACTTACCAACAGAATACTATTAAGACAACAGAACAAACATACTGGGTTGGCCAAAGAGTCTGTAGGTTTTTTTCCATAAAATAAAAGACACACTTTTCATTTTTACCAATAACTTTATTGATTTGCATATTTTGGGTATGTTGACTATCTCCTGCATGGTATAATGTTGACTGTTCTCAATTAATGTCTCAATTTGATCACTATCAACCTCAACGGGTCTACCCAACCATAGAGCACCATCCAGTGAGAAATCTCCACCAGAAAACTGCGCAAACCACTTTTGGCACGTTTGGTCAGTAACAGCACCTTCTCCATACACTGCACAAATCTTTTTTGTGTTTCTGTTGTGTTTTTACATTTCTTGAAATAATAAAGCATAATACGCTGAAAATGTTGCATATTTTCTTACATCTTCAATATTAAAATGGCTACAGAAAAATCGACCAATTTTGGTAAGTTTTTTTTAATGCATGCTGATATGACAGCTGTCAGAATACAATCTAATAAAAGTGTTTCAAATGAAGTTAAAGACAATTAAACACCAGTAAAGCCACCTTATGGGAAAAAACCAAATGAACTTTTTGGCCAATCCTGTATTTCATTCTGGCTTCCGCTAATGAAGTCCATTTATAGACCCATGCCACCAGCAGAACCATGCTACCACCAAGTTAAAAAATGGTAGGGGCATAGGATGCAGTACCATCCTTTATGCAGATGATCAATACAAGTATACTGCTCATTCATTTTATTTTTTTTATTGATGGCAGTGCTTGGCACAGGGACCACATCAAAGAGCAATCAAAAATGCATGCTGAACTAATTCTCTAAGGTGGCACAAGGTTTTCCAGACTCTTTTAACATCTTTATTTCCCTTTAAAATCAAAGATCACATTTCAAGCAGACCATGTGAGACATGGGGTGAAACTTCTTGGGTGGCACTGAGAAGCCAAGCCCTTGGCCATGCTCTAACCATCCCTGTCCCAAGAGTCCAGACATGGCAAGAAAAAAGCACACATCATACCTCTCGCAAGTTATCTTTAATTTGCTGTTCAGCCCGGAGAACTCCACCAATCGCAATCTCCAAGTCCCTCTGTGCATCACAGCACCTCAAAAGGGGTTCTCTCTTACTGAAGCCATTCTGGTCCTGTGAGGTACTCATTCTGCTCACTGTTCCTTTAAAAGAAAAGAAAAAAAAAGAACAATCTAAATTGCACAATAATTACAACCAAAAAACCACCTTTCAGTCATCCCCCAAATGATCATTCCAACCAGCTCCCATTTACTAACCGCTTAGATTACTTCCAACACATGACCTGGCACATAGTATATTCTTAATAAATACTGCCTGCTCTCCCAGCCCACCACTGTTGTGTTCCTGCCATAAAATCCTATGCATGTACTTTAGTGACAATCTACATCTGAACAGATATTTCTGAAAAAAGTACACCAATTTTTCTGAATCAATAGTTAAAAAGAACATTAGAGTATAAGCTGCTAGTTATAACCCACAGAAAGTCATAAGGGGCATGTGTTCTTGTTTCACTGATTTAGAGGTCAAGACTAAAGGTCTAGAAGGATCCATAATTACTTTGAAAAAAAGCTGCAAAAGAAAAAGCTTGATAAACAATTCAGAACATTGTTTAGATCTGGCATTTACCTAAATTTGCTGAAAGGATAGAATTTTTATTACCTTTTCTTTTTTACGTGTTTTTTAAAATTTAGGAACAAACTTAGGGACTTCATAGCTAGGAAGCTCTCAAGAACATGAATCTTCTCTGGCTGATGTGGCTCAGTGGGCTGAGCGTGAGCCAGCTGACTGAAGTGTCACCAGTTCAATTCCCAGTCAGGGAACATGACTGGGTTGCCATGAAAGAGGACTCCTATCACTGTTTCTCTCCCTCTCCCTCTCCTTCCCTTCCCCTAGCTCTAAAAAATAAACAAATCTTTAAAGGGTTTGTTTCTACAAAGCCATTTCAAGAAAAACAAAGACTTTTGCACAGGATTCTGACATATGGGAGGTACTTACAGAAATTAGTGTTACCTAATAAGCTTAGGTTTATGAGAGGTTAAGAAAGTAAGTGGAAAGAATCACACACAACAAATGATATGAGTCAGGGACAGGAGGGAGTCAGAAATGCAATGACAAAGCCTGATGGAAGCCACTGGTGTCTATCCTGGATAGATCTAGAATCAAAGATGGTTTTTAAACAGTTTAATAAAGAAAGCAGTGATCTCTGTAGCCCAGCATGGGTTCCATAAGCCCCAAGACCCCAAAGTTATTTCCATCTTGGATAGTTTTACTAAACTGGCCAGTCAATGTAACATTGTAAACTCGGTATATCTGGACAACAGTAAGACCTGTGACAAGGTTGTATGCTGTCTTTGTGGACAAAGTGAACATGGGCTAAACAAATACAATTACAGTAAATCATAAGGCAATTTTTTTTTTTTTTACAAAGCACTGAAAGGATAATGGACTAAATGAAGCCAGTCTGTAAAGATTTTAGAGTTTTGTCCCTGTTTTTCCCAATTAATCAACTGTTTTCCCTAATGACTTGGATGAAAACATAGAAGGCAGACATTTAAGTTGGGGTTAGTACAGGGCTGTGAAATAAACAGTTTCCAAAGCAATTTCCACAAAGCTGTTAAATCTTACAAAGCAAACTGTAAGTATTGTGAACTTGAATGGGGAAGGGGACAAAGTGGAAGAAAATAAATTTTTTTAAAGGATGGAGATTTCTAACTGAAAGTGAGCCCTATATGAGGTAACCGTGTGCTGGATCTGAAGGGAAAATAACCTACTCACTCACTATTTGACTCAGTGCATCAAAAGTATAGTGTTTGTCACAGGACTAATCTGGTCCATGTTTATTGGGCTATATTTGAAATTTCTTTATGAATAACATACTTTAGAAAGAAGCATTTTAAAAGGGAAAGAGGCCTCAAAACCATGAAAAATTTCTCCGGAAGGAAAGCTGTTTAGCCTTGATAAATCTCTTCTCAAATACCTGGAGACAAGTCAAGAAGAGAATTAAGCTCGTTCGGAATAGCCCAAGTGAGGGGAGGAGGAGGATTAACAGAAGACACCTGAGGCAATATACGAAAGCACTTGTCAACAGTCTTGAAGGCAAAGACCTCAGAGAAGCCAGCTTTCAATTCAACAGGAGCCTACCCAACAGAGTCCTTGAAATGGCTGACTGTTCATCTGAAACAACAGGAACTTTGGCTTAAACTGCATCTTTAGGCCTAGGTTTAGGGCCAGGTGGCTAGCTAGAAGTAGGAAAGGAACAATAGTGTGATTCCCACCCTCAAAAATAAAACAGTGAGAGGAAGAAGCCCAGTAGGCTTTCTTTTGACCATCTCAGCAAAAGATTCACATTCAAGAACTACAGACTTCCTATATGAAACTGATAGATTCAACAAAGTTCCTAATTTCCCTTGTTATTTTGTGTCCCATGATTTGACAGGAATTTCTGAAATTTTTTCCAACCCTTGAAACAACAGCTGTACCTGCTTTGCTGCCTTATTTTTCATACTGTAAGCTGCCCAATTTTAAGTATAGGCATTAGCATTCATGTGGCACACACTGTAGGGACCCTGCAAAATGCCTGCATAACACAAGTGAAATGCTGACTCAGATATAGAGTGCTGGGGTGTCCCACATTACCACAAGCTGCCTCACTTTGCACGTAGGTTAGTTATATGCAAGGCATGGAGAGCGGTCTTTCAAATACATTAACCAAATGTCACCTGTACCAAATTTCCTTCTCTTAGGTCCTCACCCTTTGTGTGAAATGCCACAATGCCTGGCACAGTGGAAAACTTAATCAGTTGTTGCTTCATAACATCAAAAAACCCAGAGCTCTAGATCACATGGGACACAAATTGAAATGCATATAGTGCTGACTGTATTAACTAGATCCCTAAAGTCTTCTTGATTCAATCACAAGCACTATACAACTCTCTAATAAAAGAAAAAGTACACAAATTCAATTTTTCTTTTATCACTTATGAACAGAAGGTAGGATGAGATTTAAAAGTTACACTTTTTCCCCCACATACTTATCATGTTTTCTAATTAAAATGAGTGTTACTCTTCAAAACAGTCATCTTGATAGAACAAGGTCTTTATAGAGTCCATTTGTCCGCCACTAAGAAAACCTGTTTCATTTCTTTATGACCAGTCCCAGGCTTGTCCCTTTGCTGCCCTTGGCTCTGCCCCTCCACCCTATGGGGCAGTCAGCTTCCACAGCTCAGATCTCAAATGGGAGCTGTGTACTGCTTGCTCTCTTGTACTGTAGTGAAGAAGACCTCAGAGCTGAAATCAAGAACCCCACTACATGGGTGAACTCCAATCACAATTAGGTGAAGCTTGAGCTAGCTTTATGAAATGCCACATCCAAAGAGACTTCTCTGAGGTACCTAGTTCACAAAGCCATTTTCAACAATTCACCATTTGTTTCAGGTTCCAGCGCCAGAGCAGCAAGCACATAGTTAAGAGATAACTCTGGGACTTGATAAACCAGAGTTCCAGCTGCATTTGCAAGCTTGAGAACACATGGAATTTACTTACCCCATTTTGCCACATATAATGCATACTTTTTGCCCAAACCTTTGAGGGAAAATGAGGATGTGCATTATACATGGGCAGTGCCTGAAATATCTTGTATCTGTTCTTGTGTTTGTGATTATTTGTTACATAAAATTTCTTGTACTACAATATGTTAAAAAATAAACACTAAAATTCCTTTATAATACAAAAAACAAGTATCTAAATATAAATAAATAACTGAATTAAAAAATTAAGACGAAAGATTTTTTTTTTTTTTCCTGAAAGTTTGGGCTGAAAACATAGGTGCACATTTTACACCAGAGTACATTATACATGGCAAATATGGTACCTTTTCTGCCCTCAATTTCCTCTGGAAAAAAAATAGAGAAAATGATCGTAGCTACAAAGGGCTGCAATGACATTAAAGTGAGACATTATCTGCCTAAAAGCACTTAGCCCAGCCCCCGCACACTGAATTTTTTTATACTGCATTTATTGTTGTTCTGTTTATCTGAGTTATGGGAACCTTAGGAACCTCCACCTTTGGACTGTACAAAGCAACACTGATGCTAGAAAAGGCTTTGAAGCAAGGAGGCCTGACTAAGAATCATTTAGTCATTTATTAACTTAACAGTCTAGACTAAGTATGCTCCCTTTTGCGTGTTTTCTAACCTGTAAAAAGACTGAACCAAATTGGCTTTAATTCTAAAATTCAAATCAATGACAGATTACTCTAAATGTCTTTTATATTCACCTTTATAATCCAAACTACTGTCCTACCACCTTCCAAAAGGACTGCCTTAAACATATTTTTTGAAACAATGTTAAAAAGTTTAATAAGCACTTCCCAAAAACTCCCTGACTCTAAGATTCCTGTCCCAGGCTTTAGGGGAGTGGGAAGAACTTGGGAGAAACACACATACCTTACAAATAAGAAAGCTCCAGGAAAACCTGGAACTTTCCTCAAGAGAACTTTACAAACTATATATGCCATATTTGCACAATGTTTTGCACAAATCTAGTTATCAAGTCTTAAGATCATAGAACCAGAATTGAGCAACTAACCACAACAGGGGCTAAGTCATTATCATATGGTTTAACCATAAAATTTCCAGAGTTATGACCCACTTGTAACAGACATAAACCACAATTTGAGGTTGGAAAAACCATCGCTATCTCTTTAGTACACTATTTAATTTTATAGATGAAGACACAAAGGCCCAGATAGTTTAAATTACCCACAGAGGGGAACACAGCCATCAAGAGATTTGGATCTAGTCCTGGACTCTCTCTGACCAACTTGTTCTTCCTTTACTGTTTTATCACCCATAAATTATTTACCAACACTAGAATTTAAAATTAACATTCCAAAATTATCATTCCAATTACCACTCAAACAGTAACATTTGGGTTACTGTTGGAATAACTTCCATCTAGATTCTCAATCCATTTTTATAGCCCTCAATAAATTATGACAATTTTTCATAACCTTGTTCCTTAGATAATGCTAACAAAATAAACAGCACCTTTGCATGTCAGAATAATCAAAACACTGCCAAATACCAGTGCCAAGTATGAAGGACAGGAGAAAGAGCCCTGCCTGGATTCTGATCACCTGTAT